CCACTCGATCGACAACCAATTGGCGCGAGATTGCCGACCAACTATTGAAATGGGGAATGCTCACACCGGCTCCATCGCACTACAAAAAAATGGGGATCAAAATATCAAATTTACACTGTGGCCCCCCCTTCTAGAAGATGGAGCTCATCGGGCATTAGCTCACATCTCCCTGTGACCAAAAGATGGCGGCAGTGATTGACTTTAAATGAGATTGCAAGTGTCTCTTCCACCTCAAAATGATCGGTCACGTAAATACCACATTTGCAACATTACTGATTCATGTCATCTCCTAATGACAAAGAGCTCAAAAGACCATGACTTTGATTTCAGGGCTCTCATAGCCGCTAAGAAAATCTCCTCACGCCTTGTATGTTTGTAGCTTCTTCGGAAAAAAAAAACTTAAAGAAAAGAACCAATAAAATAGAAAGAAAAAATATGATAATATAGTAATAAGTACAAAATCATTTAGTTTGTTTTCTGATTTATACATTGTTATGTTAGTATTGGTTTTATAAATCCCCTCTCCATTTCACAATTTTTTATCCATAGTGCAGATTGTCATTTTTTTAAGAAAGTGAAAAATTAATAAAAAATTAATAAAAATAATATTTGTCATAACAATATCGTTTTGATGCAATGGTTGAAAATTCTCACCTAAAAACTATATTGGCACGACAAGTAAAAAAACAATTTTTTAAAAATATCTCCTTTTGCTCAGCAAAAATATTATTATTTTTTTACTTAAAAAATCGCAGGTGCACGCGAAATCGGAGCTCGACGAGGTGGGCACAGTCCACCAGGCTAGACGGGTCAACTCCGGGTTGTCAGGTCAACCTGAACCGACCCATTTTTCATACGGGTTAGAAATTCAAACCCGAACCCAGCCCGTTTTACAAACGGGTTGACCTGAACATGGATTTTTCCATGTTGGGTCCGTGTTGGATTTCGGGTCGGGTCAACTTTTAATACCTCTAAATTCATATGGAAGTACTTTACTTTTATTTTTTTAGTAAAGAAATTTTTTTTAGGCGACATAAATTTTTTTATTATTTTAAATAGAAATTTATAAATTTTAAAATGAGATAAATATTTAAGAGGATGTTTCTCCATCTCACAATTTTTTATCCATAGTGCAGTTTTTTTAAGAAAGTGAAAAATTAATAAAAATAATATTTGTCATAACGATATCGTTTTGATGCAATGGTTGAAAATTCTCACCTAAAAACTATATTGGCACGACGTGTAAAAAAATAATTTTTTAAAAATATCTCCTTACTTTTGCTCAGCAAAAATATTATTATTTTTTTACTTAAAAAATCGCAGGTGCACGCGAAATCGGAGCTCGACGAGGTGGGCACAGTCCACCAGGCTAGACGGGTCAACTCCGGGTTGTCAGGTCAACCTGAACCGACCCATTTTTCATACGGGTTAGAAATTCAAACCCGAACCCAGCCCGTTTTACAAACGGGTTGACCTGAACATGGATTTTTCCATGTTGGGTCCGTGTTGGATTTCGGGTCGGGTCAACTTTTAATACCTCTAAATTCATATGGAAGTACTTTACTTTTATTTTTTTAGTAAAGAAATTTTTTTTAGGCGACATAAATTTTTTAATTATTTTAAATAGAAATTTATAAATTTTAAAATGAGATAAATATTTAAGAGGATGTTTGTTGCTAATTAAAAAAAAAAACTAATATTTGAAGTTATGTAATAATGGTTTACTTGAATAAGAAAATGAATGCATATTTCAAAAATAAGGATATGTTAATTTGTTTATTAATAAGAAAATAAAAAATATATATTTAATGGTGAAAATTTTTGCTCTCTTAATTAGCTATTATGAGTAGACATAGAAAATATTATTTTTAAATTACTTATTAATAAAATGTGTTATTATTATGATATATGATATATAAAATAAGGACATTACTGTCCTGATAAATATTAATAAACAAACTTGTAAATAAATTTGTGTCATAATATACCTCATTACCCTTTGGAATTATGTTGAGATTAGCGCTATAAATGATATCCAAAATTTGAACTAATCTCAATTCAAATCTAAACAAATTTTAAATCATATATATTTATTCCAAAATTAAATCAATAAATTTGGCCAAACATTTCGCTTCAACCCGAACAAATTTCAAGTTATATTAGACTATTTAACCTACTTTTATATATATTCTATTACATGAGACACAATTTTACATCCATCATCATTTTCTCGAGCAAAAGCATCAGATATCACCTTTGTAATTAAAATTAAATAGTTTAATATGATGCTTTTGGTTTCTGATGCTTTTGCTCGAGAATGTAAATTGTATCTCATATAATGGGATAAAGGTAAAAGTAGGTTAAGTAGTCTAATATAACTTGAAATTTATTGGGGTTGAAGTGGAATGTTTGGTCTCATTCATTAATTTAATTTTGGAATAAATATATATGATTTGAAATTTGTTTAGATTTGAAATGAGATTAGTGCAAATTTTAGATATCATCTATAACGCTAATCTTAACATGATTTTAAAGGTAATGAGGCATATTCTGTCACAAATTTATTTACAAGGTTGTTCATTCATATTCATCAGGACAATAATATTCTTATTTTATATATCATATATCATAACAATAGCATATTTTATTAATAAGTAATTCAAAAAATAATATTTCTTATGTTTACTCATCATGGCTAATTAAGATAGTAAAAAATTTTTACCATTTAATATTTTTTTATTTTCTTATTAATAGATAAATTAGTATATCCTTGTTTTTTAAAGATGCATTCATTTTCTTATTCAAGTCAACTATTATTGCATAACTTCAAGCAATGAATGTCTTTTTTTTTAATTAGCACAAACATCATCATAAATATTTATCTCATTTTAAAATGTATAAATTTCTATTTAAAATAAAAAAAGAATTTATGCAGTCCAAAAAGATTATTTTTTTTACTAAAAAAGTAAAATTATAGTACTTCAATATGAATTTAGGGGTGTCAAAAGTTGACACGACCTGAAACCCAACCTAGACCCGACTCGAAAAATTTGAGTTCGGGTCAACATGTTTGTGAAACGGGTCGGGGTTCAGATTTCTGACCCATATGAAAAAAGGGTCGAGTTCGGGTTGTCCCAATAACCCGGAGTTGACTCGGCTAACCTGGTCGACTGCGTGCATCTCGTCGAGCTTCGCTTCTACGCTCACCTCCGCTTCTACGCCCACCTGTGACCTTCCAAGTCGAGCCCCGCTTCTGTGGGCACCTATGACATCCGACCCAACCTCGCACGCACCTGCAAAATGCGACCTTTACACTCGACCCCACCTTCCAGGCCGAGCGGTCGAGCCCCTTGGGCCTTGCATGAGTTGCCTCCGACCTCGCCCAGGCCCTACCCATCCGACGGCTCACGATTTAGCAATCTAGCGCGTACCTTCGACCTCGCCCAGTTCGGGTTTGCGGGTTGGGTCGGGTCAACCCGATAACCCGCACATGTCAATTCGAGTCAACCTGTTTATGCCCGGGTCAACTCAGGTTGGACCCGAACCCAACCTGTTTACCCAAATTGACACCCCTATATGAATTTACTATAATGTCATTCAACAATAACAGTAACTTTATGTTTTTTTACTATTTATATAATTTTTAAGTAAAAATAATAATAATATTTTTGTCGAGCAATGGTAAGAAATAAGTAGATGCTGTTAAAAAATCATTTTTTTATACTTTATATTGATCGACATAGTTTTTAGGTGAGAATTTTCGACCGATGCATCAAACTGCATCGACATGACCGAAACTTAGAATGAGAGCAGATATCATTTTATTAATTTTTTTGAAACATTTTTCACTTCCGTTAAAAAAAAGTGACAATCTATACTATGGATAAAAAGCTGTGAGATAGAAGAGGGGTTTCATGAAATCAATACTACCGTGATACTATATAAATCAGAAAATAAATAGAGTGATTTTATCCTTATTATTATATTACCATTTTTTTTCTTTCTATTTTACTGGTCCTTTTCTTTTTAAGTTTTCTTTCTTTCTGTCAAGAAGCTACAAGCATATTAGCGTGAGGAGATTTCATTAGCGGCCACGAGAGCCCTGTAATCAAAGTGATGATCTTTTGGGCTCTTTGTAAGAGAAGCAATTCATTAGGAGATGGCATGAATCAGGAATGTTGCAAATAGTGGTATTTACGTGACATATCATTTTGGGGGTGGAAGAGGCCCTTCCAATCTCATTTACAGTAAGTCGTCGTTGTCTTTTGGCCGCTGATAGATGGGAGCTGACGTTCGGTGAGCTCCATCATCTTCTAGAAGGGAGGGGGGTAACACTGTGTAAATTTGAGATTTTGATCCACATTTCTTCGCAACGCGATGGCGGTGAGTTTTGACCATCCCCATTTCAATAGTTAGCTAGCTGGCAATCTCGCGCCGATCGGTTCCCAATTGAGTGGAAATCGTTCCCAGAAAATAATTGGGAGTTTATTAAGCTGTCAAGTGTGTGAATTTGGAGGTTAGCTTGGAATTTCTTCTTATAAATGTTTTAATCTTTTTTTTTTATTTGATTTCATTTTTTTACAAATTGTTTTGTGCGTGCAATCAATCTTTCAAAATTTCTTTGCTTTTCTCTAACTAGTATGTTTTTGGACTAAATTTTCCTTTAGAATGTTTCCTGTGATCCATGAAATCCCTAAGATAGGTGAACAAGAAATTTATTGTGGAATTGGCCACTTCCCGTTTTGAGCTAGATCTGCCTTTTAGGCGTATACCTGTTTTTTTTAGTTTGTCATTTTTGGACGACTAGTTCTTGAATTTTCTATCGTCTCTTATATAAATCAGGTAAAATTCATCCTAATTCCTGTTATTCAGATGAAAGCCAAAGCATAATTTTTATTCCTAGTTTTGTCCAAATTTATTACTTCTACATATATTGAACATATATTTTTGAAGCTTAGTGATTCTCTTCATGTAATTTGCCATTTTCTGTGCTTGAACAGTTCTCAGCAAGGTATGGACTTCAGCGGAGGTCCTCCGCAGAAGCAGCATCAGGATATTAGAATCCAGGACCTGTGGTCTCCTGTGACACCAGTGAAAAATATCCCAACAAGAAGGAAATTAGTCTCCAGCCCTAGCTACAGCCAAAGGAACCAAGTCGCTGAACCAAGTTGGCTTGATCCTTTGTCCAGAGTTCAGGCTTCAACTCCTTGGGAGCTTTCTTTCCAAAATGGAGTTTACAGCACACCAGATCTTCCCGACCACCTGCAAGATCTTAATGGTAGTCAGGCAGTTGCACAAGATTCTGCAAACCGGTCAACAATTGGTAATTTCATGCCTCATTCAGCAAGCATTAGTAGCGGCAATGCTGTTTTGATGAACCGTTGGTCTCCAAAGCTCAGCAAAATACGACCTTTGACTCCCTTCTTAGCGAAGAATGGATATTGCCAGGTGATGCCTGCTTCCTCAAATCAGTTGCTACTACATGGAAAGGTTTTGCTTCCCCAAGGATGTTGTAACAGAAGCAGCAATTGGGATGGTCAGAAAGCTCAATGTGAGTATTTTGTGAGGACATTCTTCTTTAACTTCAGTTTTGTAATATGTTCTAATGTTCCTTCATTTTATCTTATAGATGGATCAACAGTTACCCACCCTCCTAATCTAAATTCTTTTCCAGAATCTACTATTAGTTTTGCTGGGACGGGGGCAATGCCCGGTTTGCTAAATCATATCAACCCCGAATTTTACAGTCAAAGAATGCAGTATAAACAACAATTTATGGAGGTCATTGACCTGGTTAATAACCAGGCAAGAGAAGAAACTTTGCCTATGAAGGAGATGCCTGCTGATGCGTCCGTCTCAAATCTGATGGCAACAGCCGAGTTTGATTGCTTCCAAAATCCGGATTGTATAAAGGACTTGGCTGTTCTATCTGACGAAATCTCCTATCAGCTAACAGGAATGGAAAAGAGCCTTGTGCAGAGAGAAAATGAAAGCATAGACCTGGATGATGCTTCTAAACATAAACCAAAAAGGAAGAAGCACAGACCCAAAGTGATTATAGAAGGAAAACCTGCAACGACACCTAAACCAGGAACTCCAAAGCCAAAGACACCCAAAGCAGCACGAAATAAAGAAAAAGCGTCGGGTAAAAGGAAATATACCAAAAGAAAGAAAGATACAACGCCTTGTTTGGATTCAAATGCTTTCGGTGAGATTGTGGATGCAGAAAGCCAGAGTGGGTCTATGTCTGTGAGGAGAAGCTTGAACTTTGATTTAGATGAGCCACAGACAGTAGACAAATTTCCGTTTTTGTTGACAATGTTTATGCAAAATTTAGAGAAATATGAGCAAGAGACCTGCGAGGATAGCAATTTGGCAAGCTTTAGCTTCAAAGAAACAGTTGATTCTACTGGAGTACAAGGTCCTATAGTGGAGAATTCATTATCAGGAATTGTCTACGATCTCAGAAGTTCAACAAGTGAACCTCAGAATGAGTACTTAAAAATACTACAGACTTTGCCATCAACCACAGAAAGCCAAAATGTAGGAGCTTCAGACAATAATGTCAATTCCAATGGTGTCTTTGATACTCCACCTAACGGAAAAAAGAGAAATCACTGCCTTACTGACGAAGCTTGGGGGTTAGTGAAAAAAAATTTGATGCATTCGGATGATGGTGGATGCTCGTCTAGCAAAAACCATGATGTAGAAAGGCAGAGCTCAAGCCTTCTGGACATTAAAAAAACGATGCGCATGGAAAATGGGCGCAACCGGTCAACATGTAACCCTTCTCCAAGATTGACATACACTCCCTCAACTGGTTGGAAGACCATACAAGCATCAACTAATTCTCAAGCGTTAACATTTACTGATACAGCGAAGCTCATTGCCCAAGAGCAGTTACAAACTTTAGAGCGTGTGTTATTACGTGAGAAAGCAGATGTGAATACACATAAATATCCTGTTATAAGCAATGACCTGAGCTCCTTAAGTGGATTAATGGTTTACAACAGGAACTCAACTCCAGTTAAGCCATATTTGCAGAAGAATAATGACATAAGACAACCATCAACCCCTGACAAACCATCTGTTTATAGCAACAGTCAAGAAAGCAAGATCTGTGGAACACTAGTGCAATTTGTGACATCTGAAGATGTAAACAAGCCAGTGAAAATTAAAGGTAAAAGAGGCAGGAAGAAGAAAGAAGAAAACCCTCTGATCAATCCTTGTATTTCCGCAAGTAGCACTGCTGCTGCTCAAGGTCAACTAAATACCAGGATAACCACAACAACCTCAACGCATTTGCATGGCAAGAATTTACATTCTGAATTCATTTCATTTAGCCAGCAAGATACAAGCAATTATAAAGCCTCATCGAATTCTAGTATCCCTTCTTTATCTCCGTATATGGATTCTATGGATTATATTGTTCAGAAACTAAGGCGGCTCAGTATAAATGAAGATCATGAAGCACAAAATGCAATTGTCCCATATATAGGGAATGGGGGTGTGATGGTTCCATATGAGGGCACTTTTGAGCTGGCCAAGAGGCGCCGTCCTCGTCCTAAGGTTGATTTGGATCCCGAAACAAATAGGGTATGGAAATTGTTGATGGGAATAGAAGGTGAGGGAAATGATGGAACAAATGTGGATAAAGAAATATGGTGGGAAGAAGAAAGGAAAGTTTTTCAAGGGCGTGTGGATTCATTTATTGCACGCATGCATCTTGTCCAAGGTACTAAATCTTGTTATAATTTGTACAGTAGTGATGTCTTACTACCTTAATTTGTGTGCTGAACAGATTCTAGCCACTTTTGAGTATCAAGATGGTAAGTTAAATGACATCTTTTTAGAGTTAGTCTAACAAAATATATTAAACCACATAAATTGCATTCAAATTTTCATTCAACATAAAGAAAGTTGAGCATTTGATTGGAACAAGTACCCCGCTATTAACGTAATCCGTTTATAATTAAAAATATTTTCACTAAACTTTCAAACTATATTTTCATAGTTTCTAATGCTATTTTACAAAATTAAGCTTCAAAGGATACATTAAAATCTTTTATCTGGGTGATAAATCACCAAAGCTGTCTGAGAGTTGAATAACTTGTCTGATCCTTACATTCGGTTATTGCTTTTTCAAGTAACAAGTGTATGGACGTGAGCCAAAGTTTAGCAATATACATCAATAGTCAAATCCATTTTTATCCTAAAAGTTTTAACCTATACATGTGTGCTAATCCGTTGATTTTTCTACGCCAACATATTTTTCATTTATCTTTCATATGACTAATCCTAAAATCTCACATGAAAGTAATTCACATTTTCATAAAAGCTTATAAAATACCATGCTTCTACAGCTTACTCAACATGTAGGGCATTGCAAGAGTCACAAACTGTATGAAACACTCGATTCTAACTAACCGTCAACTTTGATATCACTTTTAGAGATTGAATCAAAGGATGTCAAAATTGGGCCAAATACAGGGGCGGAACTGGCCTTGATTCTTAGGGGGGATAAATTTATAAATAACACCTCTACACAATGTGTTTAATTCTACTATGGGGCAACCACCTAAAGATAATAGTATTTTAATTTTTTTTAGGAGGGGCAATTGCATATAGAGTAAAAAAAGGATGGAGGAGAATAAATCACCTAAATATCCATGTAGGGCAATTGCCCCCCCTCAGGGCTAGGTGGTTCCCCCCTGGTCAGACACAACAATAAACAAAGACAGTTTCTACCCAAAAGCTTAAATGAGTGCTAATAAATTGATATTTCTAGATAAACGCATTTTTTAACTACCCAGGCTAAACTTTAAGTCTTATGTGCCTTGCCAAACAGAACTTCTACAAAAGTGAACTTCAATGGGAAACAATAAAATTTTTTTGACTAGGTGATACATAAACAGCTCCAGCTTCAAGTTGAATCAATTGCCTGATTGTTACTTTTGTTCATAAATTTTCTAGTAAAAAGGACTTCTGCATGGATGTTGATTTTCTCTTACAAAACTTTTTAGGGGATAGACGATTCTCCCAGTGGAAGGGATCAGTTGTTGATTCTGTAATTGGTGTCTTTCTTACCCAGAATGTTTCTGACCATCTTTCGAGGTAAGATTAACTTCAGAATATAGGTTGTGCGGAACTTTGAGGCTTTTACTGGGTAGAAGCCAATTTTTATTTTTTTTCTTGACTTATTTGAAAATGAGCAACCATTTTCTATGTATAATTTTTACAGTTCTGCATTCATGGCACTTGCTGCGAAATTTCCTATTCGATTTGGAGGCAACTCTAGAGGTTCCAATGCAGAAAAGGTCAATACACCCAGGGAGAATCAGATCGAGTGCATAACATCACTTGCTGAAACTCCCAATTCGCAAAGAAACATTTTAGATCATGATTTTTACAGCCAAGCTTCTTTGGAGAAAAATGCTACTGAAAATGATGGCAAAAAGGAAAATAGCAATAGTAATGAAACTTTTGGAAGTGGTACGGGAAGAAACAGTGTAGTTTTTTATGCAGGAAAAATTTTGGAATCACATGAAACAGAGCTTAGTTGTGGTCAAGAATCGCCAAATAGTGGGTCAAATACTGCAGTCACAGTTGCAAGAAGTATCAACTCAGTGGAGATTGAGGATAGGAGATTACTGGAAGAAGTTGTTTCATCCCAAAATTCCGGAGTTTCTTCACAAAATTCGATGGGATGTCAGATTCTGTCCAGTGATCATATTACATCAAGCACAGTGTTGAATATAGAAACGGATGATTTGCTAATTGGAAGTTTGAATAATGGCTTTGGCCACTCCTCATTCACAGAACTTTTGCAAATCGCAGAAAGCAACAAGTTCCCGGACTTTTATAGCCATGGTAGCATGCCAAGTGCAAATAGCCAATTAATCCATAAGATTTGTAATAAATTGTCTGTTTTTGATCATATGGACAACTCAAAAGGTACATGTCAACCTTACCAAGCTGATTTCACTCTCCATCATACATCATTTGGTTTGTCAGAAATGTTACCTGAGGCAGAGTTTTTATATTCTCGTAATCCTTCTAACCTTACAATCTTGGAAAATAATGCCAACACTTCAAATGAAGAGATCAGATCTTCTTTACAATCAAACTCATGTGAAATAGTTAGAGGTAATAAATTTGAAGTTAACAATCTTGAATGTAGAGGACCAGCATTAGAAAATTTAGCTGCTTCCGGCAGTCTCAACAAGATTTTATTAACTTCTGGATCTGCAAGCGCTACTGATTCATATGTGCCAATAAGAATTCCAAGTACAGAACAATCAACCTTTTTAGAAACTGAGGTTGGTTTCAACCAGCAATCTTTCAGTCATAAAAAGTTAGAAGAGAGAACTGATACATCATCATATATTGAAAACTCACATGTATTCTCAAATATACAAGCTACAGATATGGCAAGATCCCAGCAGACAGATAGGCATTCAACATTCAAAGCAGAAATTTCACAGAAAGCAATCAGAGTTCCCAGCCAAATGGAAAACAACACAAATCCAAAAACAAGTTCAACCTCAAATAATAAAGTACAGAATAAGTTGGATGTGGGTCAGACAGTTGGATCAATCATGAAAGATGAAGCTAACAAATTTCAAAATGTTTCATCAGAAACACCAAAACAAGGAGAAAAGGCTAGGAAGAGAAGAGCTGAGAGCGAAAAGAAGACCTTTGACTGGGATAGTTTGCGCAAAGAGGTACACCGTAATAAACCTAGAGAAGAAAGAAGCAGTGATGCAATGGATTCACTTGACTGGGAAGCAGTAAGGTGTGCAGATGTAAGTGAGATAGCTGAAACCATTCGAGAACGTGGGATGAATAATATGCTGGCAGAGAGAATCAAGGTATGTTCAAACAGTCAGTGTAGCTGGAAATAATGTCTGAAATTGAATTGCAATTTACTAGTTTTTTTTTTTTTCTTTTCTTTTTTATATATTTACTAGTTCTAGTTCTTGATAAGTTTGATCTGTTCATCATGGAATCAATATTTGAGCATAATATCTTAAATTCATTTCCCCTCCTATTGATTGATGCACGTTTTATTTTTAGAATTATCATCATGTAAGCATTGGTTAAAGGAAGAACATCACATGACGTTTTAGCATAATTACGAGCTCAATTACAGATATTTTTTTTAAAAAAATGAGTGCTTCCTTTTGAGAAAAAGAATAGAGTGCATTAAAGGAAGGTATTATGTAGTGATAAAAATGCTTTGTCATCTGTAGTTGTTTGTATTTAAAATTTAACTTTGAGGTGCTATCGAACTGTTCTAAGCACGCTTCAAAACAAACATTTAGATGACACACGAATCAAGATAGTTAATCTTTGAAGATCAAAGTATGGAGTGAAGCTACTAAGTTTTATTTACTCTTTTTTTCCCCATGATGCAGGATTTCCTTAATAGACTTGTTCGGGAGCATGGAAGCATAGACCTTGAATGGTTGAGAGATGTTCCACCAGATAAATCAAAGTAAGATTTGGACAGGCCGTTTCCACAAAGTATAACATGCAATAGAGCTTTCTAATGCTTCTTTTTTTACAACAAAATTTTTTATCCAATTTACTCTCTAAAAATAATCAGGCATGATTATTTTGGTTTTTCCATTAAACCAATCATCAGAAAAATAAATGGAAAGGGCTAAGATGAATTTTTTCTTTGCAATTTAGTCCCTAAATCTATCCAAAACATGACTAATTAGGTCCTGTTTATTTTAGACGATTGGTTTGATGGAAGGGATAAAATAGTCATTTTGTGGCAAGTTCCCAATTTGGACCAAAAAAAATGTCTGATGTCAAAATAAATATACCTTAAATAGTTAAGGGGATATTTTGGTTATTAGTCTTATGTTTGAAGGACTAATTATAATACCTGTAGTTTACTAGTAGTCATGAAGTATAACCTTGATTTTCTTCTTTCATAATTTTTTAACTTTATTCTATATTGTCATTTCAAGTTGAAATGAATGTTAGATGCCCTCCTAATTTTAGAGTTTTGATTATGCATTATATCATCAATATAATTTTAATGAGGATCTGGTAATGTGATGGACTCCAGGATTGAATTTAACCATATTATTTGTCAGCTTGATGAGGCCTGTCATATAATGGGTGCCACAAGTTATTTTTCCTTCTAAATTTTTATTAAAGGTTAAAAAGTTTGTAAGAGAGACCAGGCATTCCATCCATGATTAAAATCCGCTATTTATGTGCTCAAACCATACAGAATTGGGAACTTGTTCTCTTATTAGTTATTTCCTAAACAAAAGAAATTATTTTTTAACAGATATCTTACTTGAGTTCCGTCTAAATCTTATCTGTTTGCTGTTTTTAGGGACTATCTCCTAAGTATAAGGGGATTGGGGCTGAAAAGTGCAGAATGTGTCCGGCTTTTGACTCTACATCATTTAGCATTCCCAGTAAGTATTCCTTCTTAAGGAACTATATTGCTTTGTACATGAAGAAATTTATAGCAATAATTACATTGCTAGTTTATATTTTTTTCACCGACCATAAGGTTGACACAAATGTCGGCCGGATATGCGTGCGGCTTGGATGGGTACCACTCCAACCATTACCTGAATCCCTTCAATTACACCTTTTGGAACTGTAAGTTGTACTCACATTCTACTCATTCAAAACAATTCATTGCATCATATGGGAAGAAAGAAGAACCATCTTATGAGCGACATTTTAAGGCTTCTTGTTTTCTTTCTATAATGTAGGTATCCAGTATTGGAAACCATTCAGAAGTATCTCTGGCCTCGGCTGTGTAAACTTGACCAGCGTACATTGTAAACTTCATTAACCTCCATTAAATTAACAAGTATTATAAGATTTATTTTTATTAATAATTTTAGCAGATAAAACACTTATACATCATGCCATTAAATCTTGACCCACCGTTAAAATTATTCACTTTCCTAACCATATTTTTCACAAATCAGGTACGAATTACACTATCAGATGATAACTTTTGGAAAGGTAATTCAGTAATGTGAAGTACCTCAAATTATCATGAACAAGGAAATAGTTATCATTTCTTTCAACTAAATTTTATACTTGATGCAGGTTTTTTGTACAAAGAGCAAACCTAATTGCAATGCTTGCCCAATGAGAGGAGAGTGCCGACACTTTGCCAGCGCATTTGCTAGGTATATGTAACCTGGCATTTCACGTTTATGAATCTTGCTTGTAGGGCTTTCTTGCATTTTAACGCTTTGGTATTCCCTTGAGTCTTATGCTAGTAATTATTAAATACATATAAAGAAGCTGTAATTTTAGTATATCATCATAATCATGATTTGTAGCAGCACCTATTCAAGGCTACATTCTCTCTTGTGAATCCTTTTTTGTCATTAATTGCTCTGCAGAGCTAAGTTCAGTTACCAAGTTGTACGACTTTCTTTACCAAACCTCTTTTATATCAAAGCCCTGCATTGGGTACCCATACCCATACTCACCCATATACATTAGGGTATGGGTACGCCCATGACCTTTGTGGATGGGTATGGGTGAGTACTAAACATCAAGGGATAAATCGATTTACATTATTATTCATTTTATATCTTACTTATACTATTGCAATCATCACTAAGTATTATTTAGCACTTAACCACGCTACGAGTTTAATAAATTTTGATATGCAAATTGAAAGTTTGCCATCATAACAAATGACAACAAGCCTCAAGGCCAATCAGTTCGTGGCAGACTGTTCAAAAAACATGAAAAGTAGGTGGGTATAGGTGGGTACGAAATCCCGAAAGTCAACATGGGTGGGTGTGGGTGGGCGAAGCCCGTCCGAGTAAAACATGGGTAACCAATGAGTACCCAACTAGGACAGTAGGACCTCATGTAGGTCTTTGTTTTATATGCTCTTATTCCTTTGTACTCCTTTCACATAATTATATTTCCCTTGTCTTATTAATGGTTAATCCTTATTAAATAAAAAATACATTCTCCTTCCACCACAATTAATTACTTTCTGTAACCATGACATTCACAGACGTCACTTTTGACTTAACCATTTGTGTTAATTGAATAATGCACATATCCCCTCTTAAATAATTTCTATTCATAAACAATCATTAACCTTATTTGCTTGAAATTCTAATGAGATATCCTTCAAAGAGGGTAAAATTAAAAACATGCATACAGAGAGAGCTTTCAGTAATATAATGCACCATCGTAGCTTCATGTTAAATCGTTTTGTTCATCTGATCCCTATTAAATGATTAAGATTATATACAGTCATTTCTCTGTTCTATTTGCTTTGTGATGCTTAAATTAGAGATTTACTTCAAAAGATTAAAATTTAAAATATACAAATATCTGTGTTGTCCTTATAAATTATAGAATCGAAGTTTAGGACATCTCATTCATGAATATAATTACTATTTCAAGGATGGATGATCTACCAATTTTATGGCCATAATTAACAAAAATCTACTAGAATGAACACACTTTATTGAATAAAAAAAAAAGATTCAATTCTATATTGCGTACAATGTGCTTAGAGATGCTGACTTATCTTTGTTTCAGCGCAAGGCTTGCACTTCCAGCTCCTGAGGATAAAAGCATAGTTAACTCCTCATATACAATTGCCTCTGAGTATGGAATGGCTCCAGGTTTTATTCCAAGTTCAATTCCGCAGATTGAATGTAGTTCAGTCTCACAGGAGCTGACCATTCGGAAGGACTCTGAACCAATCATTGAAGAGCCAGCAACACCAGAACCTGAATGTCCAGAAACCTTAGAAAGCGAAATAGAGGATGCATTTTTTGAAGATCCTGATGAAATTCCAACAATAAAGCTTAACTTCGAAAAGTTCACACAGAATCTGCAGAACTATATGCAAGAAAATATGGAGCTCCAAACTACTGACATGTCGAATGCCTTAGTTGCTTTGACCCCAGACGCTGCATCCATCCCCATGCCCAAGTTGAAGAACATTAGCCGGCTGCGCACAGAGCACCATGTGTATGTATTAGAACTCCTTAATCTTGCTGAGAGGCATGATTGTTGCAGGCTGCTAAACATATAAATGCAAACCAACCTCATCAAATGATATCCTTTTGTAATGATGTTGAATGCGTTTCTGCTAATTTTAATTTGTATATTATTGCAGATATGAAATTCCTGATTCACATCCATTGCTTGAAGGAGTAAGTTTTTCTCTTTTAACTGAACTATTTAGCTTGCTTAAATAGGAATAGTTGATGGATACATTAAATAAAAATGTCATGCACAATAAAATAAGAAATTTATAGATGGGATCCCTTGTATTAACCCCTTTATGAGAATGCATTCACCTCCAGATAGTTTCATCTTTAGTGTTTTTTCCTCCAAAAACTGGCTGGTAATAATCTAGAAAAGTTGGGAGTGAAATTTATACTTATATCGTTTTTAAAAGGAGCTTGAGTAATGGAGATCAATAATCTTATGGTCGGAAGACCTAATGCTACAGTGGTGAAAAATTGAGAGACAACATTAATGTTAGGGGCAAATGAACCATAAAGAACTAGCCTTAAATTAAAAAAAATGGAAGTTTTTCTTTGAAAATGCTATTGCCTAAATTATGAAAATTTTCATCAACTTCAACTTAGTCCACAGCTATTTCTCATGAGCATTACATTTACATGTTACAGTTTGCAAAATCATTGCAGAAAGGTCCTTTTCTTCAAATTGTATCTTCCTTCTCTAATTTTTTACCCAATCAAACGTGACAGCTTGACCAAAGAGAGCCTGATGATCCATGCCCATACCTTCTAGCTATATGGACACCAGGCAAGCATCTTATTTTTCATTGTGATCATTGACTTCAATGCATATATATAACAAAAAATTTATTCTCTAGGTGAGACTGCTCAGTCAACTGAACCACCAAAAGCTTGCTGCGACACCCAAGATACGGGTCAACTTTGTGACAGGAGTACATGTTTTGCTTGTAACAGTATAAGAGAATCAGAGGCTCATAAAGTCCGAGGAACTCTTCTTGTAAGCAAAACAATATTGTTTAAAGACGTTACGATATATACTATATACATTCTTGATTAAATATGGATTTTGCATAGATACCTTGTCGAACTGCAATGAGGGGAAGCTTCCCACTAAATGGTACCTACTTTCAAGTTAATGAGGTAGGTTGGTTCCTTATCAAATAGTGAACTAAATGAGATAAAAAGTCTTCTGATAGAAGTTAAATCCTGCTTGTTGTCTCTTGCGAAGGCTTTTAACACAGGCTGGGATTTAGAAGTCATGTGGCCTGCACTCTACATGCTTTTAATGCTTTCTTTTGATGGCGATGCAGGTATTTGCTGATCACCATACGAGCCGTAACCCAATTGACATTCCAAGAGACTGGATATGGAACCTACCTAGAAGAACTGTTTGTTTTGGAACTTCAATACCAACAATATTCAGAGGTATTATGTTTACTCGATAATTGTAGATGCTGCTAAATGTAAGTTTCAATGGCTTCAGAAAAGCTACTGATTTATTTCTGATCTCAAATTTTAGGTCTCACAACAGAAGGAATACAGCAGTGCTTTTGGAGAGGTATGTAATGAGCTTTGAAATAGGTTACACTGCATGAATATGGGTAATTTAGAATTGGAAGTACTTGTAGCCAAAGATTATTGTAGTTTTTAATGAAGCAATGGAAAGTTAAAAGTAAATTTAAAGTTTAACAACACTAAAAATACAAAAAAAAAATCACTACTGAATTTCATAATAAAAATTTATTATTGATATATCATAAAAAAATTATCTTGATCGTGCACGAATCTCAAGGCAATTTCGCATTGAAAACTTTCAATATTAAATTCAGGGTCATCCAAACTTTGATTTCAACAAACTTATAGTCGACCTGAACGTTCAAAAAGATGAATCCAACGACACCAAATTTGATCCAATATAAGCCCAAATGGGTCCAAATCAAGAACCAAATGGCATCCAAATGTGATATGTTTATAGTTGAATAGAACGGCTCGACGAGATGAATCCAACAAGCCCAGGATTGCTAAATTCTGACATCATGAAAATATTTAAATACTTATTAAATGATCTATAATCAAGGGAGCTGATATCGGCCGTCCATTCAAAACACTCTCAACGTGTCCTAGATCTTCTTCCTATTATTTGGTCATGCCACTCGCTGAAAATTATAAATAGATTTCTCATTCTTCACAAAAGTGGGAGAGAAAAAGAAGAGGAAGAAGGAAGAGAAATTTGATCTCTCTTGGCACCAAGCACCTCCGTCGCCCGCCAACTATACTCTTTCTAACCTATGTCGCTCACTGACTACGGTCTCTCCAACCACTTCCACCAACTACGTTCTTTCTAACCTCCGTCGTCGGTCAACTACAGTCCTTCTCACTACGTCATTGACTAAGATTTTTTCGAACGCCATCTCTCGCTGACTACGGTCCTTCCAACCATTTTCACCCGACTACGGTCTTTCCGACCTCCATTGTTCGCGACTATGGTCCTTCCAACCACCGTCGCCCCCAACAACAGTCCTTCCAGCTACTGGCACTTGACTACGATCTTTCTAACCTTTGTCACCCACCGACTAATATCCTTCCGACCACCGTCACCCAACTATGGCCTTTCTGACTCTGTCCCCGGTCAACTACAAACCTTCTGACTACTGTCGCCGATTATGATCCTTTTGACCTCCATCCCCAGCTATGATCTTTCGACCACCATCACATGACTATGATCCTTTCAACCTACATCGTTCGACTATAGTCCTGCCGACCAAACGAACATGTTGACATTGATTCTTCCAACTTCCATTATCTAATGCACTCTATATGATATATATTTGATACATCAAGCTAAGGCCTTCCCCCCAAGGAAAGGCCTCATTTGTAATCAACTGTAAACACTAGTAGATTCATTTAAATTGGACAAGGCCCCGTAGTTTTTTTCTCATTTTTAGGGGTTTTCATATAAAAACTTTGGTGTCCCTTATGAATGCTACACTCCTATCTTTCATATGTTTGTGTTTTGGATCTACGTACCGTCACGAATATTCCAGAACAATATATATATATATATAATTTTAAGAAAATTTATTGTAGTTGTTAATGAAGCAATGGAATAATTTATTGATAATCATAAAATTTCCATATTTAAATATAGTAAAATGTTTTCTTATGCCAAAATGGATTTAAAAAAATGTAATAAGCAACTTCTTAGTCCTATTGAGCACACAACAATTTTGTTTCCCTTTTTTCATTTGTTGCTACGATTCTTCCGACCATCATCGTGAATATCCCTAATTGACCACTTTGGTCAAGTTTAACCAATCAGCGATGGGTATCCATTACCTAAACACCACAGTTCAAGTTCAATGGCAGAAATATGCATTCTCTAAAAGCTAACTAGTTCAAACACTAGCTTTTTATGCATTTTTTCCATGTTGCAAGACTCTTTATACTATTAAATACTTGAAACAGATGACGCATAAAGAAGAGCATTTACAAAAAACAGCCTTGAAAAAATATGAATCTATTTTATTTCATGGCTTTTGCCTTAGAGACTTGGTCTATCCTGGAATCAAAATTGTTTGAAGTCTATGCTAAGCTTTTGTCAATCATATAGCTAGGAAAAAGTAAATAATGCAGAACTGACTGCATGTGATGGCATGGCTGGGTAATGTTGTTACAGGGTGTACATTAAAAGCCTTAGATACAATAGTACAGTAAGTAAATAACTCAGTAGAATCTTTCATTTTAGTTTGATGCATAAAATAAAAATAGAAATGGTGTTGCAGGTTTTGTTTGTGTAAGAGGATTTGATCGAGTTACGAGGGCGCCGAAGCCCCTCTATGCCAGGCTGCATTTCCCAGCAAGCAAGGCACCTAAAAATAGCAAAGAAAGGTTGGCGGCGGCGGCGGCGGCGGCGGCGGCGGCCGCGGCAGATGAATCGGCCAACGATACCTCAGACCTAACTGGGATCCATCGATAATTAAGAATGGATCACTGACCAACGAATTACTGTGTTCATGGCAAAGCCTCTAACCTGAAGAAAGCTTGGCGACTATCTCAAAATTGGAGTTATGGTAGGGGAGAATGAAAGCCATGAATTTTGATCTGTAACATCCTGGCCATTTATTATTTCATTTCATGCTCGGTGGTCGAGCCATTCTTCATGATAGATAAAACTGGATGGTAATTCAATCCATCCACTCTATTTATTTGTCAAACATGCATAAAAGAGAGGAAGTTGGAAGTTGCAAAACCTTCAGCTTTTCAACTGGTAAGGTATTATGCAAACTTAGCTCAGTTGTATCAGTAGAACTTCGATCTGTAACATTCTAGCCATTTATTATTTCATTTCATGCTCGGTGGTCGAGCCATTCTTCATGAATAGATAAAACTGGATGGTATTCAATCCATCCACTATTTATTTCTCAAACATGCATAAAAGAGAGGAAGTTTAAGTTACAGAGTGATTATTGAGTCCGGACACCGGACACGACCAATAAAAAAGTGTCACATCACTAGGCGCTCGGTACCGACCGCAGTACCACTCGGTACCCTCAGTACGCTGTCCGAACAGAATAATTTTTCGCTTTTTAGAGTTGTTTGATTGCTAGTAGTGTAGATGCAAAAGAAGTAATTTCTTTCAAAAGTAATATGATTAAAAGATAGCAGATCTAAAATAAATACATACAGACAATCATTTACCAAAAGAAGAAGCTATTTGCATGTAATTTACAGCAATCAAACAGCCCCGAAGATGCAAAGCTAAGAATTATGTTCTGCCATTTTGAAAGTCTTGAAGAACAAAACAAAAAGCTTCAGATTTTGCTCGTCAGAAGAAACTATATCGCTTACAGATTCTATTTATCTACGAATCAATCAACTTTTTTTTTCTCTCTAGTGATTCTGCACAAATCCGCAATGAATAACTAACTACATATGAATGGAAAGATAGTATTTCATAGAACTTATTCGATAACTATCATAAAAAACAACTCAAAACAGAAGAAATCTTACAGAAGTTATTATTCCCGCGACAGTAATTCTGACCACCACAGAAGAAATATGTAGAACTGAACGGAGAAAGCTTCTCTCGGCTGCAATTGCTGCTATCATTTTGCTTTTATTTTGAGAAATCAATCCTCGGTCGAAGATGCAGAGAATGACATTAATGATGAAAGAAGTTATTACTAGCGGATTTAATGGCTTCAATCACCAATACAATTAGATCTGAATATAAAGATCTATATACCTATTTCTTGATTCTATGATTGCTTACAAACAAAAGCTAGGGAAAGGAATTGCAAAATAGCATGGAGAAGAAGGATAAGCTAACTAACCCTAAAAACTCGAGAATTTAACAATGTTTAAAAGTGAAACATCGGTTATTTATCACTCAAAAATTCAACTTCTTTCCTTGAAATGAAAAGTACTTTGACAAAAAGAATGATAAATTATTAAATAAAGCTATCACTGATATTATGTATTTCAAATACAAAAAGTTAGGCTACATCATAGGCAACATAATCTTACTCTAAGAACTCAAGTGTAACACACTCAATAATAATCAATTCTGATGGTTGATTGGCAAATCTCTTCTTTTATCTTTGGAACTTAGTTCCCTTCAAATCTCTCTTATGCATGATAGTTAAATGGTCTTAGAGGCCAATTTGTATTCATGATCCTCTCCCTCAATAATAGGTAGGGTGAAACCAACTACTGCTAAGAGTGGAGAGATCTCATGATGGATGATGTCCTCATCCATATCTATTACATCATCAATGGTTATCATCTTACTCAAAACCTTTTGTTTTTGTATCCTCTTCTTCAATCTTTTATTCTTATTTCTCCTATGTGTCTTGATCAAGATAGGAAAGGAAGAAGGGGATCCTATCTTAATTTGAATTGGGCAAGTAGGAAAGCAAGTGGGCACAATAAAAGGTGGTTGAATATACATTGACCAAACTAGCACAGGTTAATTAACAATCATCAAAGTTTTCTATTTCTCATCAATCTTTGATGCCTTAGGATAAGATAGCCTTGAGAAAACAAAAGGTCTCAAAGCTAAGCCTAATGGGGATAACTCAATATACATAAAAGTTCAGCATCAACAACATTGACACAAAGATGAAATAAATGAGATGTCTAATAGAAAGAAACTTACACTTATGAGGGGCGTAAGTGAGTTCTCGTATATAAAAATATAATATACTATTAAAGATAGAGAGAGTAACCAACCTCAATAAAGTTGCCAAAAAATTGATGGGTTATTTACTATTAGGATATACCATTGTAAGACTAAAAGTCATTTGAAGATAAATTCACAATGAATAAATACAAATGAGCACATGAAAGTGTGACTATCTACTGAAAAGCAAAAGAAACCCTTAATAGTTGAGGACTAGCAATAATAGTTTGGATTAATGCCTTAAAAAAGTAAATCGCATGAATTAAAAAATAATAATAATTTAAAAAAAAAATTAATTAAAATAAAAACAATTAAAAAACTATAGAAGAGTCACAGAATATAGGATGGGATAGAGGGATGCCGACGCACCACATAAGAAAGCAGACCTTCAGAGAAGCTTAACGGGGACAAAAGAAGTTGTAGAAGACTCGGCCTGAAGCTCGAACATCAGATTGATGTTGTGCAATAATTGTTCCACTCGACGCTTGACTCACAAGAAAATAATCATGTAGTTTTATTTATTGTTCCAACATGACATAGTTTTCTAATACAAAATTTTTAATTTTTGTACTAAAAAGTTGCTTTAAAAAATAGTAAGCTAGTCATCTCAAATGAAACCTAAGGCTTCATTTGGGACTGCTCCCTCACTATTTTCTAAAGCAATTTTTTAGTAAAAACTTTTGAGTTTAAGAAATTGCATTAAAAATTTATTTTAAAAAGTAAAAAAGAAAATTGTCCCAAATGAAGCCTAAGTAAATTATTGACTAGCTTTGTGAATTAGAGAACTATGGATAAAAAGAAATCCCTCTGCACCAGTAACCTACAGTATTGCTCTGTCGCACAACAAAATTTTCACAAACTTCCATTAAGCTTCAATAGAAAGAAAATGTTCCAAAAAACAAAGTTCTCTGTCTTCGTAAGTCATTACAAAATCAAGTATTTCTAAATGATCTTATGACATTATTGTAGACAACATAAACATTGGCAGGTCTTAAGAGGACAGGCTAAAAGAATGGTATTTCTACAACACAATGCAACTGTCAACCCCTATCTCCATCAATGTTTGCTACCATTCTACATTATTGCCCTACCAGTTTTTGCATACAAAAAATCAGTAATCATATAGGATCTCAATTTACCTCATAGTCATGAAAGCCGTAAATGAGAGCAATATTGACTCGTCCTCCGAATGTTCTGTGCATTTATTTGGGAGCCAAATTCTGGGGAACATAGAATTACTGATACAATTTTGTTGAAAATAATAACAGATAGGATGCATTTTAGTATATATTTAATCAATAAAAAAACTTTTGCATCTTGGGAAAAAGTGAAGGCAAAGTAGACGTCATCTGTCTTGAAATAGAGGGTTTACTTAGGAATAATAATTTATTTTATTTTTACTATTCCACCCATTCATTTTACAATTCAAAATTAATAAATCATATTGGGTACATAAACTTTCACTCGGAATAACTTTATAATCTTTGCAATCTAAACAATTTTTTTAATAAAAAAGTCACGATCCAGAAGTGCATTAAGTTAATTCAAGATGATATTCGAAACCTTATAGGATTGATTTGACCCTTTTTGGGTTGAATGTGCAACCCTAGCAATGACCATAAAATTCAGCATAGGACTGAAAATAAATGAATGAAATAGATATTATAAAGTTTTGACAATTCTCTGAGTCATTCACTCTTCAATGGGGAATCTTCAAAATAATTATGGTTTGATCAAAATACCCTTTAACCACAACCACTTATTGGACATCAACATGAAAATTCCCTCCGGACTAAAATTTGTAAAAGGCCCCAAACCAACCTTGAGATAGGAGATTGTCAAAGGAAAATCTAACTTGATGTTCTTGAGAATCTGTTATGCAAGAATGGATTTCACCCTATATCTTTGATTGGGGTCTAGAGGAATTTGAAAGTACTGATCTCTTGATAAATGTAGGTGGCATATATTGATGCCTTGATGTCAAGCATATGACCGACCAAGGAGTGGTTGTGCAAGTTTTTTGTCAAAATGCAAGAAATGTGATTAGCAGTGCGAAAACAGGTACGAGTGACGCCATTGATTTAGGTACGATGTCATGCTTTCGACTTGTTCGAATGATGCTACCTTCTTAAATGGACAGGAATGATCCAATATATTGCTTGGGAGCTTTGATAAAGTTAAGGTGACTATAGATTTATGGAAAGTAAGGTAGCCATAATTTCCTTTACCTGATGGAGCTGGGAAGTATTCATATACCTAATAAAAATGGATGGCCCTATAGCTTATGGAGCCTACTCTACTTCAGATTAATTGGGACCGAGTTCAAGGGTCTATAGTCTTGTTAGGGGTTGCTAAAATTTTATAATCATAATAAAAGAACAAAATTTTATTAAGAAAAATTTGTTATTGTTTCACAAACAGAACTTTATTGAAATTTTCTATAAAATAAAAGGGACAAACTATATGGACAACATTTTGTGGATATTTTCCTCATTTCAAACTTGAAAAAAAAAAATCAATTTCCAGCGAGTCTCCAAGTAAAGGTATATTGGCGATATTTAATAAAAGTTGACTTGATTGTTTCATGTAATGGGTCAAGAGTGATTCATCTTTTAATAGTTAAAATTGGATTATCAAAAGAAATGATTAGAGAGGCCCTCTGAAGGATACTCTCTTCTTGAAGATTTGAGTTGTCAGTTTTGGAGATTATCATTGGGCATAGTAAAGACAAATAGCGGAAACAAGAGTAGGCAACTTATCGGTTGCCTTTAACCACTAAAAAACCAGTAGTAGGAAACTTGAGTTTCAAGTGAGGCAAGGATGCAACCACACAAAGATAAACTACAATGGTATAACGAAGATCGAGTTGGAAGCGGACATTAATTTTACAACCACATTATATGGTGTATATGCTTTGTCTTGGGAACTCACTACTGGTGATAGGCAAAGTGTTGATTCCTTAAGTATTTATTAGGCTGGTGTCAAAGCCATAAAAGAGGTTCAACAATAAGGTAAAGTTTTCTTTTGTAAGTTTAATGTTTATTGGGACAATATAGAGTTTTTTCTTATCTGGTGGTAACAAGAGGAATGCAGTATAGAAAAGCATGCTAACAAAGCTACAAATGTCTAAAAGAATCCTCTTGACATTAAATCATGGCTCACCAATCCCAACATTAAAGACCAATAAATCTTGATATTGAGTAAGAACCTCTTTGCAGTCCAAGTCATCAAAGCTAATGGAGATTTGATTGTGAGATCTTTTTGGTCTCAACAACTTGGGACTAATGAGAATTAATTACCCCAAGAGGATAGAATCTCTGACAATGGCTTCAAAATTATCCACGATTATATATACATATCATCAAGAATTGTAGCCATGATTTTGTTTACTAACCTCTTTGCAAATCTACTAGCTCTACCGGTGATTATTTAAAGCCTCACTAATATTTTGTTTCTTTGAAAACACTTTCATCTCTTTGATACTTATTAACTCCTAACTACACCTTCAAGACTCCTTTTGTAGATCCTTATCCAATTTCTGAGAATTTTTATCTTTGTAAAGCAGCTAATGATTTGATCCGTCACCAAATTTGGTTCAAGTTAAAATTTTCAAACGTTTTCTCCAATAATTTGAAATATTCAGTGTTTATTAAAAATTGTTAAAAATTACTGTGGTATTAATGTGAGTTTGTTGATAATTAAAACGGACGTTAATATAAAATTTATATAGAACTGACTTAATACACTTCAAAATCATTATTAAATTATTAATTATACCAATTAAATTTGTTACTAATTAATATATGATGAACTAGAACAATTGATCATCTCAATAATTAATCATTAAATAATTAGACAAATTAATCCTTAATTAGTAAGATTAAGCTCACCAATTTAAAAACATTATCTTCATAATCTTAGATAATATATTTTTAACTATTCATTTACTAACTAATTAGAATATCTTTTAGCCTAATTTAATTGATAATCTAAATTTATTAATTTATATAAAATTGGCTTAATACTGTATCAATCATTGCCGCATCATTAGTTATACCAATTACTTTTTTTTAAATATATGATGTGCTAGAACAATTTATCATCTCAATATTTAATCATTAAATAAATATATTAATTAATTCTTAATTAGTATAATTAAGCTCACTAAATTAATAGCATAATCATCAAGTACTATCTTTGATACTGTATTTCTAATTATTAATGAATACATTTAGCCTAATTGATCAATAATAGCTTAACAAATCTGAATAATTAAAAATTCAATTCATTAATTAATACCAAATCAATCATATATTTTAAATAATTTAATGATAAAATAAATAACTTGCCATTCTGACAATTATTTAATATTACATCATTTAAACCCAAATTATGCTAATTAATGGTTAATTGGTTTAATTAATCTTCTGGTTAATCAATCTATGATAAATTGAATTAATTCATTATCCCATTCATTAATTGTTGATTAAGTAGCCTAATTAGTATCCAAAATATTAATAAACGTCTAATTAATTACTTTAATTATTTTTAAACAACTCAATAAATTAACCAATTTTATTACATATTTTTAACTAGACACTAATTCAGGTAGGGTCTTATGTCCCAAGAAGTGGAAAAGATGAAATAAGAGAAGCATAATGTTGGAGTAGCTCCAGTGGCAGATAAGATTAAATAGAGTCGCCTTAGATGGCGGCCTTCTGATGATAGGATTAGGAGAGTTGATGTATTAGATTTGGCTTCGGTTAAAAAAGGTAGAGGTGGACCTAAAAAGACTTAGAAAATATTAGAAAGAATCTTTCTTTATTAATTTTAAATGAGAATTTGACTCTTAATAGGGCACAAAGGAGAAAAAGGAGAAAAATGATTCATATAGCCGACCCCACGTAGTGGGATAAAGGCTTGATGTTGTTGTTGTTGTTGTTGTTGATGCTGCATTTTGTGCTTATACTATCATATATATGCTCAAAATATATGATAAAGGTAATCTTCTCACCTCAAGCTTGTCTTCTGCCTCGTTATTGAATGTTTTGCATAGAATCTCATAGCTCTTTTCATAACCTGTCTGAAAAAAATGGCAGGATTATATGAATGGAGAGATCCACAATGAAATTCTCCTAACCAAACACAAGGGGCAAAAATACCCTTACCAATGGATCCACTTTTGAGGGTGAGATTGCTGAGATTACATACCTGGAACCACATAAATACAAATATTAAATTAAAAATTATATATATACAACCATATACCAGAGAACAGTTAACCAGTTACCTACCGCAGTCTACTTGTATAGAAATTCATAGCCAATACATTAGCCTTTTGTACAGTTAAAATTACAGCTCCCATCTGATTCTGTGAAACAATAAAATTGCTACATTAGGGGTATATCGATTGTTGGAGGCATGAAGATGAGATTCAATTAATGGAGCTCAAATATATGTTGTGGACGATACAAAGAACACTTGAAAAAGAAGCAGAGGAATAGCTCTTTAAGTAGAAGAAATGTCCATCACGCAGAGACAACAAAAGCATGGGAAAACTGCTGAAATAACAATTTGACAGGAAAAATCTAATACTGGTAAACAACTTATGTATGAGAACGATGAAAAAGGCCTTAATATTTATTATGATGGCTTGATGTGAAAATAATACTTGGAAAAAAATGACTAGATAATAAGGGAAATGGGAACGATGAGATGGACAACCAAATTGGTGAGGTGAGCACAATTCCAATAACCCATCATAAAAAAATAGTGAAATGCCTCAAACATATTATGTGATAAGAGAATGGCAAAGTGACTTCAATGTAAATTTATAAAAATGCAAAAAAATTTGTTGTATAGATTTCAGTGTTGGACAGTAATGAAGTCATTAATAGACAAGTTGAATGTATTAAAAGACAAAAATTTAAGATAGATGAGTGGTTAAACTAAAATTAAAACAATACAGATGAGTTTCATAAAGGCGCCATCAAATAGTCAGGATAGGGCTAATTCTGACAACAAATAATTATAATAATTATAATAATAAATATACCAAATAGCCCTAAACTAATGATAATACAATTGTTACATTTAACAAAAAAATGATCCGTAGAAATATCAAAAGAAATGACAAATAGGATGTATCAATGGAGTGTTGTGTTAAAATTACTATGCTGGCAATAAAATATACTTGCACAAAGAATTCAAGTAGTAGTGATTATCAAATTTGTTGAATTCAGAATTGTCCATGAATTACACCCAACTAAACAAAGAATGTTGAGAAAAAAGTAAACAGAAAAGTAGATAGACAAAGAAGAATTCTAGAGTAGAAACTATGAGATTTTTTTGTAAAATCAGATTGATTACATAAAACTACTTAAACTGAGTTCACCCCTCAATCTCTTATTTATAGTTTTGGGTTAGGCTTGAGCGTTGCAAAATTAGCTACATACATAACTATATGCAAAAAACAAGAGAAAAAACAAAATAGTTGTGTGGCCCCATTTGAATGTCTGAATTGAATTCATCTACCAAGCTCCTGAGAGGTCGAGGGCTTGGCATGTTATTGCTGGTCAAATACATGAATAATCGATCAATAGTTTACCCTATAGAGGAAGGCATCCCCTTGAGCTATCACTAGGGCCAACTTTATAGATCAAATTCACTTGGTTGGAATGAGTTATGAGATTACAGCTGCCTACTTGAGGATAGTTCTTGTGTAGACTAACGTGTCTCTTTTAAGGTGAGATCAAGTAGGATGACTCAGTATAGCCTGAACCACGTCAACATAACTTGAACAAGGCCAACTTGGCTTAAATCCGGTGAGCGCTTGCTTTTTGCGCCTTCTATCTTCTTTTTCAATAAATTCAAGATCAATTAGTTAGCCACCTCTACTTGGCCATTCATATTTGGATTATGAAGTAAAGCAAATTTGAGTCGAGATCCCTAGTTTTGACAAAATTTCTTGATTTTCTTATATAAGAATTATGGATCATTATCAATAATAATCATCATGGGAAAGCCATATTAATAGATAATATCAATTCATATAAAGTTGCATGCAACTTCTGTAGTTTTTGAAAGCACCTTGGCTTCAATCCACTTAATAAAACAATCAATAATAACTAGGATGAACTTCTTTTGTCCACTCATAGGCGAGAAAGGGTCGATTAGATCCATGCCCAAAAAAATCAAAAAGCCATTAACTAGAAAATAATTGCAACTTATGAGAGGGATGAAGTTGCATTGGCGTAAATTTTTTACATTAAAGACATCTCTTGAGAATTCATCTGCATCTTCTCAATATAGGTAAAAAAAAACCTTATCTCAAAATTCAATATGTTAAAGTTCAACTTCTAGAGTGATTGTCGCACTCATCAGAAAAAACTTTTTTTAAATACCAGCAACTTCAAATTCATTTACACACCTCAATGAGATGGTAGTTGAATAGCTCATCATCAATTAGTAGATACTGAGGTTTTTTTTATTTGAGTCGCCGAGGATCCTTCACACTTGCCAAGATTATACCAACTTCAAGTATTCGATGAAAGAACTCACCCAACTCATCCCTGATGGTTGGTCGACTTCCAACACTTCAACTTCTTCAATTCTAGGGCAACTAAGCTCTAAAATAAGTCTTCCAATAAGATTTCTCATTTTAGAGAGCAGGTCGGCAAATTGAGTATGATGTTTTTAGAATATGCTCAAAATATGCTCAATTTTGCAATACTCAGACTTCTTGATCTAGCTTTTAATGGACATTTTTTAATGATTTCTTCTCTTGCTTTATATTCTTCGTACCTTATTTACAACAAATTTAGTGTCAGAATATGCTATCAAGTGCTTTACCCCAACTCATACAGCAAATTTCATACCCGCAATCAATGCCTCATGAATGTCTTGGTTGTTGGTAATTTGAAAATCAATTTTGATAGCATGAGAAAATATTGTTCCTATTGGAGTCCTTAAAATAACTCGAATGATATCTCCTTCTGCACCAGAGGCACTATCAACATAAAGAGACCATAATAGATCATCTTTAGTATCAACTACACTGATGTCAACTAAGAAATATGTTAGCGTCGGCATCTTGATGGTGGTCCTTGGCGTGTAAGAAATTTGGAACTCGCCAAGTTCCACACTTCCACAAGCCATTTAAGTAATCACTTGAGTGTGGCTTCGTAAGAATCAACTTCAATGAATGATCAGTAATAACATAATATGAATGCACCAAAAAATAAGGATGAAGTCACCGCACATAAATGATTAAAGCCCATGCAAGCTTATGATTAAAGCCCATGAAAGCTTTTCATAATCGAGTAATGTAACTCAACCCCTCCTAGAACTTTACTCACATAATAGATCAATTATTATTTCTTCTCTTCTTCAATGTTTCACAAACAAGGACTAAGCTCAATGCCTCTTTATCAACTCCAATAAACAAGAGCAAGTCCTTCCCCAAATAAGAATTTAAGAATTTTCAAGTAAATGCGGCAAAGAGAGGAGCAACTTCAATTGTTGTAAAGTAAATTCACATTCTTCATTCTAGACAAAGTGCTTAGCACTTCTAAGAACATTAAAAAATGTGGAGCACTTAAAACTCGACTTTTAGATAAATCAACTAAGCCCAGTAATTTTCCCTATTAGCCTTTGCAACTCGACTTTAAGATAAATCAACTAAGCCCAATAATTTTCCCTATTAGCCTTTGCAACTCCTTTGCATTTCGAGGATAGGGTATTTTAAAAATTGCTTTCACATTTATGGGTTCATTTTGATACCACTTGGAGTATACAGAAAGCCCAAGTACTTGCCCACTCCAGCTTCAAATGCACACCTCAAAGGAGTCTGCTTCATCTTATAATTTTTTTAGAAGAAAAATTCATTTAAAATCATGAATATGCTACTCTGGATTTTTGTTTTTTAATGAATAACTCATTTCCATAAATTTCAACATTTCACCCCTTCTGATTTCAAAAAATGTAATCCATCATTTCTTTTGTATGTCACGCCTTTTTTTAACCAAATTGCATCATGTTATAATATTATAACATATCAACTATGTTGAAGGCCATATTCTCATAGTCGGCCGGGTGTATTTTGATTTGATGATACCTTGAGAAGACATCCAAGAAGCACATCATAGGATGACTGCAGAGTCGACTAAAGCATCAACTGCGATTGTGGATAGCTATCTTTGAGGCAAGCCGAATTTAAATTTGTGAGGTGAGTACATCCATCAATTGTCATTTGATTTTCCACCATTACTATATTAGAAATCCACTTTGGTACTGCAATTCCCTGACGAATCTTGCCTGCAAAAGTTTTTGCACTACTTTACATATGCAATCAGCTAGCATAATTACGACATGTTGAACTTAGCCTCATCTGCTTGTCCTTATTCAGACTATGGCAGGCAACATTGATATCTACATGTAGCATTTCATTTGACAACTAGAGGAGTACATCCACATAGAGGAGTACATTTGCTAAAATTAATGTTGTGGTTCTGACAATCCATAGAGGAGCTGAAGAGGAGGCTTCTCTCCAAGCTAACCTTAAATGACTTAGGTCGGGAAAGGTGAACTTGGCGAGTACCTCAAGGGCGCCTATTGTCGAGGTGCAACCAATTGTCTTTATTAAAGTTGATCGAACAATGAATGATAACCCCTATAATAATGCAGTGGTTGTCACAATGCTGCTCACCACAAATTATCAAATTGGCAACATCCTCATATATATGGGGAGCTCGATGAATATTATTTTGAGAAGCGTATATGAGAAGATGAACATGGGCGCTTCTCGCCTAATGCTAACTATCAGTCCTCTCTTTGGCTTTTTTGAGGAGCACAGAGAGACGAAAGGGGTAATTGCTTTGCCAATCACCTATGGAAAAGGAGAAAAATAGTTTATTGCCATGGTTGAATTCATTGTAGTTGATGCGCCAACTACTTGTAATGCAATCTTTGGTTAACCACGACTAAACATTTTTTTTGCAAACATCTATGCACGCCATATCGTCGTGAAGTTTTTAATAGGTGGTCATGTAGTGACAATACGAGATGACTTATTGCAATCCAAAGTGTGTTATCTAAAAGTAGTGGGGAATGTCTAGGAAGAAATTCTCTAACTCAATGTGCATAAGGGATCCAAGTTGTAAACTATAGAAATTATTGACGAAGTGCCGATATGTGAAGAAAATTCAAATCATAGCTTCCAAAATTTTCTATAAATATAATTAATCACTAAAAATTAAATAATTTGAGCTTACCCATTAACCCTCTATTTATAAATTTAGGTTGGGACTTGAGCATTATAAAATTAGCTACATACATCACTCTAAAAAATAAGTGAACAATGTAATAGTTGTGCAACCTGATATAAACGTCCAACTTGATGTAGTCATCCGTCGAGCTACTTAGAAGAACCTCACATGACATATTAGATGTTGAATACCCGAGAGGATGGGCAAGCCCATTAGGTGTCTAAGGTTCCTGGATTTTCAATTTTAGTAAAAGTTGTTATAGTGACTTACAAGAAGTTTCAAAGGTTTTAATTTGAATGGAGGAGTTTTAGGTTTCGTAGGAGAGAGATTGGATTTGTTGAGAGATGGCTGAAATGATCCAATGGTAAGTTTGTTAAATGGGTTGTTGGGATGTTTAGAAAGGAGGTGTGGGGTTTCGAATGGATGATGAGGGTCGATGTGTTAACATACAAAAGCAAAGAATGCAAAATGAAGGAAAGGGTTTCTTGGATGCTAACAAGCTTATGGTGGGAACATAGTAGCCAAGCAAATGAAGAAAGGTCGAGAGAGAGATGAAGAAACCATCCTATGGAAAGCTAAATTTTTACCAAAATGAGATAAGATACAGAAGATCATGCAATAAAACTCTTCATTAGATGCAAGAACTGCTCTGACAAAATTTATAAAGGGATGCAACATGGAAAGCCTTCAGACTTAAAATGAGGCCTAGATATGAAAATGATAGTGATTGAAAAAACTATAATATTAGGGAAAGGGGAAAAAGTAAAAGAAAATCGATTAAAATAAAGGGAAAATGAGAGTGACCAATTCCATTGGTTCTTCTTCAAGCTTTATGATTGAAACCAAAGGGATTTCATATCCATGGAAGAGAGCTTTAATTCCTCATTCATCCTAAAATCATCACATTAAGGAATCTTATGCATGGAATAGATCCTCAATAACTAACAAGACATAAGGCTAATGATGATGATGATGATACTGAATGACAAATAGATTCAATAATGTGTCTAAACCGATTATGAAAAATTACAAATAATCATGAAGGGCAAATGAGATAATCAATCAAATAATATAAACAAATGAAAAGAAAAAAAAACAGCATCAAGTACTAATAAGTTTAAACTTTTATGAATGCTAACACATGGATGAGTTAAACTCTGAAGACTTCCAGCCCGTTTCCATCCACAACATTCTAGGAGTATAGGGAAAAAGTTGAGAACAAGAAAGTACCTTCCGTGCAATAAGCTCAATCAGTTGCATCAAGAATTTCCCTAACCCCTTCCCTCTAGCACAACTTTCCAACTGAAGCTCATAGACATAAAGAACAGGTATCTCTTCTTCAACGATAAAACGGTAATGCATAAAACCAACCAAAGGGTCTCCATCACCAGTCCAGCAGTTCATTCTATCATCTTCCTTGAGATAATTATCATCATGAACCACATTTGAAGATTCCCGAACAAATATGTATCGTGCTTCTGCAGCAACCATTTCCCTACGCTTCACTTTCTCCTCTAGTGGCCAGTCAGAGCCATATGGACCTTCCATGTTAACCTATAGTTTTATCAATTAAGCAACATCAAACATAGTCATTCTTGGATGAAGAACAGTTGAACACCAAGGTAAAAAAATAGGATTATTAACCTTAAGAAGATTTTGGATGTACTTCTTTATAGAAGATGATAGCTGATCACCAAATCCTGACTCAAGGTAGACAGATAAACCTGATCAAAATTAAACACAAAAACTTTGCTTGATGAGCAGATCAATAAGTGGATGTCAAATGGAGAAATGACTTCTCAGGTACCATTCCTATCGTAGCGAGAGAAAGCCAAAAAGGAAGCTAGATGATCCTTTGCAGTTGATGCCGATTTTATAATTTCTTCAATCACCTTTTTCCTCTCCAAAACCTAGAAAAACATGATCAGTGTTTGTCCTAAGCATAATTTCATATATTTTGGAACCAAAAGGAAACCGAAAATACACTAGACATAATAAAAGGAAGAAGACATGCACCAAATTTTCAAGAAAAAAAAACATTAAACTTATGAAAGGACTCCCTGAAGATAATCCACGTTCAACAAAAAGAACATAATTTTTAATCCACCTTTAGCAATCACAGTACCAGAGGTTGAAATGATCTTGAAGCCTTACCAAACAATGGCATTTCTCACGGTGATGCTGTCCAACGGTTTTGAGCTTGCCAAATCAAAAGCTAGCCTTAAACCTGGCTAAAAAATTTGCTTTAATTTTCTTATCATTAATATAGGGACCCAACAACTTATCTAATAGATCGTTCGTTTAGATTCTTAACAACCATTCTAGCAGAGCAGTAAAAAAATGGTTAGATCAGGATGTAAAAGATTCATGCCTCACTCCTTCAAATTTATCATGCCACCCGAAGTGTCCACTATGCGAGTACTAGAATTTTATATTAGCTAAAGTAGCATTTCAAAAGCTTTAAAGAACATCTTGCTATTAAAATCGACTCTTTTACTCTATTTTGGAGTCTGCATAGTAAGATCAAGACCTTGTTTCAATCTTGATACATTGAAATTTAATCATAATGCAGGCCATATGATGTATATATGCACCATGGATATTAATTTAATGCTTAACATTTGCTTCTAAGTCACGGGAAAAGTACCCTGTGCATTTTACCCATAGAACAAAAAATAAGTACTAATATTCGAGATGCCTCTTCTTTATTTCATCACTCTTTCTTTATCACTCTCTCCTAGTGCTCATGATGAAATTATCCTTCTATGTCAGGTTTCAAGCAAAGGATAAGGCCCATCCTTTATACACTTCAATATAATCATCAACCTCAAAAAACCAAGTGTTTTGAATTCTTCATTAAATTTCAAGCATCCAGTGATTCTATATTTCTATTAGCATGTGAAATCTATAAAGCAACACGATTCAGGAAAACATGTTTTACATTATCTCAAGACCAAATGTATATTTCAAATTATATAGCCTGCACAAAATAACTTAAATTGATATTGATCTTTTAATATTGTTTCTCTTCACACAAGCGCTAGCATTCATTCAAAAGATAATAAAATGGTACACTTGCTAGTATAAACCCATCTGCACTGGGTTCACTGGCTCATCTACCAAATGATAGCTAGCCTAGTACATGAATCCCATATGATCTAGCACGCCAATCCCAAATCCTGTGTCAAGACTATATTATTTCTCAGAGTTTTATAGCTCCATGAACTCAACAAATCAGGTGTAGACATAAGCATGCTAGTCTACCCTTACAACAGGGAGAACCTATCTAGTTAACACCATCAATGAGTGCCCCACCTTTGAAGGGAGGATCATCAAAAGCACATGGATACTTCCCTGCAACAATTTCAATAGATATCCACAGGCCAGAATCATTATATTCCATCACTCAACCACCTCTCATAGCCTTTAACAGGCCGAGGAGGAAGGTTACCATCCATAAAGAGGGGGAGTGTTCATTTCTATATTCCCTTTAATTTTAGCCTTGGAGGAAGCCTCATACCGTGTAGATTGCAGCTGCTTTGCACTCCAACTTAAGTTTCTTTTTTTCTTTTTTCTTTTTTTTTTTGACGAGGAACTGTCCGCTGCCACACCCAGCTTCGTCGAGCGCACTTGGTTGTCCGTAAACCTCGGCCGACCTGGTACCCACGCCATTGTACATGCAGCCGGCGCTTTGGGGCCCTCACTGAAGGGGCGGCTGCCGCTTGAGAGAATTGAACTCGGGATGGGGGGTTCATAACCGAGCACGCCCACCAACCATGCTAAGCATCGGTTGGTTCAACTTAAGTTTCACTTTCGATATCTGTGAATGCACAACCCAAGCCTCTTCAGCAAGCCACACAGTCTACAATCCTTTAAGCTCATTGAGCTCTGACAGACTCAGTTAGGAACACTGGTACGATCAGACAGACCAAATAGCCGCCAAGGGTGGTAGCGCTAAAGATTACTAGAACTCAACGTCAAGCCATTAGCAACTAAGCAACAAAACAAAGAAACAGCTTCATATTGCTTCATATATCCCAAAGTTAAAAAAATAAAAGTCACATATTCAAATATAGAATGACTGAAATTTCAAAACACATATTCAAATATAGAACGACTGAAACTTCAAAAACATTCCAACAAGTATGTACCAATAAGAGCAAACAATCATCATGAACTACAGGTCAATGACACCAAAAACTGGAAGCGAAAAGAGAAAGGATGCAAAAAGTGCTAAAACCCTAAACAAAGATCAAAACTTTCCAACTTTTACAACGAATTTCCTACTCTTTATCCACGCAAAAAAGCAGCAAACGGAAACAAGAGAGTAGTGGGTGCTAAGATTTTAAAATTTGTTATCAACAATTTGGTGTTGAATCCTGCATTACATTCATTCTTCACTACTCCGCATTTACACAGCAAAATAAAAAATAAAAAATAAAATCAATACCTCCTTCCGCTTCAACTTCTTATTTTTACTTCTCTCAAGCCTCTTGGAATCCATGTTCTAGGAACCCTCTCTCTCCCTCTTTTTCACTCTCCCTCTCCTGGTCTTTTTGGACGGTGTGCTGAAGCAAGCGAGAAAGTTGCGGGAGGGGGAGAGACGAGTTTGAAAACACAGACGGAGCGTACGGAACAATCGCGAGCCCTAGGCCTCCTTTGATTTGATTTTTTTTTGGCCTTTTCAGTTTCGAAAAGACGTAATTATTTTTTTTCGAAAAGGCGTAATTATTTTTTGTGGCGGTTTGTATGTAACGCTTCTTAAATGAATTTTTTTATATAATTTTATTTTTATAATGTTTTGAGAAATTTTTTAAATTGACTTCTCCATTATAAAATTTTAAAATCATCTTTTACAAAAAGATCGTGTTTGCATTATAAATGATTAAAAATAATTTGATCCGAGTAGAGAAGTGGTTAGGCCTCTAAGACTTTGTTTTTATTTTTAATTAAAAAGTTTTAGAAAACAAAAATTGGAGTAATTACCAAAAAAAATTGACTATATAAACCTCATAATATTTAAAATTAAAAAAAAAATTCTCATTGCTTATTTTTTAAATGTGATTATAATTCATTTTTAATTAAATTACTCTTACTTCGTCACATTCAATTTATTTGATGTTTAAAACAACAATAACATCAAGCATTTGTCCCACTACGTGGGTTTGGCTACATGAATCCTTTTTTCTCTATTTAACTTTTGTTAAAAATCAAATTCTCGTTTAAATCTAATAAATAAATATCACTTCTAATATTTTATAATCAAGTCCTTTTAGCTCTACTTCTATCCTTTTTAACATAAGTCAAATTTAATACATCTACTTTTCTAACTCGGTCATCAGAAGGCAATCGTTTTATGTGATCAAACCATCTAAATTAACTCTCTCTAATCTTATCTTCCACTTGAGCTACTCCAACCTTTTCATGTATTTGCTCATTTTGTATCTTTTAACTCTAAGTGTAAAGCCACTCATCCACGTGAACATTCTCATTACTGCAACACTTAACTTCGTATTATGCTTCTCTTTTAATGGCCAACATTCGGCACCATAAAGCATTACAGGTCTCACCACCATCTTATAGAACTTTTCCTTAAATTTGAAGGGGGGCTTTTCTATCACATGACAAGCTCGATGCATTCCTCCACTTCAACCATCCAATATGAATTCTGTTAATAATATCACCATCTATTTCACCATCACTTTGAACAATAGATCCAAGATATCTAAAATGTGTACTCTTATTAATGACTTGATCGTCCGATGTCACAACCTCCTCACTATGTTTATTACTACTAAAATTACACTCCATATATTCAGTTTTAGATCTACTGAAGTGAAAATCATCAGACTCTAAGGTTAACCTCCGTAGTTTAAGTTTACTTTCAACTCTCTCTCTAGTCTTATCAACAAAAAGAATATCATCGGCAAAAATCATACACCAAGGTACATCCTCTTGCAAAATGTCTTGTGAGAACATCCGTGACTTAAACAAAAAAGATATGTGCTTAAGGTTGATCCTTGATGTAATCCACTCGAAATAGGAAAATATTTAGCCAAACCACATTGTGTTTGAACACGAGTAATAGCTCCTACATACATATTTTTAATGATGTGAAAATAAGCATTATCAACTCCTTTCTTTTCAAGAACTCTCCATAGCACTTCTCTTGGAGCTTTATCATATGCTTTCTCTGAATCAATAAATATCATATATAGATCCTCTTTATTCTCTCTATATTTCTCCATCAAACCTCTCAATAAATGGCTTTCATAGTAGGCCTATATGGCATGAATCCAAATTGATTTTGAGAAACATTAGTATCATGCCACAACTTACACTCCATAACTCGTTCCCATAGTTTTAAAGTATGACACATTAATTTAATTCCTCTATAATTCGCACAATCTTGTGCATCACCTTTATTCTTAAAAATAGTAATTAACACGCTCATTCTCCACTCATTTGACTTCTTTTTAGTCTTCAAAATAATATTAAAAATTTTAGTAAGCCTAGAAATTCCTTCATCTCATAAGCATTTCCACACCTCTACTGGAATATCATCAGGTCCAATAGCTTTTCCACACTTCATTTAATGTCCAAACTACATAAAATTGATTCAAATAAAATTCAACTAAATTCGAAGAAGGTTCGAAAATAAGTTTGAATCGTATATAAAGCTTTTATATGTAAGATTTGAAGAGGTTTTGAGTAAAACTCAACATAGTTAAAATGATTGTTCATGCAATATTCGAACAAGATTCAAATGTTTGAACATAATTCAAGCCATGTTTGAATCTTGTTCATACAAGCTTTTGAACGTAATTTGAATAAGGATTTGAGATGTGTAAAACATGTTCAAGCAAAGTTTATCTGATAACAAAATGTAATCCAACTGCTTTAACAAAACATACTATGAAGTCAAATGTAATGTAGTATAATTATAGAAATTATAACACATTAGATTATAAGATAAATACAAAAAAGTATAATCAAGCCGCTATAACATAAAAGATAGCAATCCAAAAGTTATAAAACAACAAATTTTAAGTTATCTACAATAAAGTGAAATTCAAAAAATATAACTTAACAAAGATCATTCTGATAATTATACTACACTATAGTATAATCCAACAACTATTGCTTTGTTTTGGAATTTTTACTATTTTTTAAAGCTGCTTTCTAATAAAAAAAAATTATACTAAAGTAGTAAGAATGTGTCTCAAATGAAACCTATATCACATTAGAGAGCAATCAAATAATTGACACTTAAAAAGGATTAATCTATAAGTTTTAATACAAAGAATTTGAATAGAAATGATCAATTAAAGAATAAATGTTTACAATAGAGTGTCATACAAAGATCCATCTTCATGTCATTTATCTAATCGACATAATTCTTAAAGATGACCTAATATGGCTCCTTTAAGAAGTAATCATAGCATCAGGAGCTTATATTGGCACCCTACCAACAGAAGCTTAGGTGTGAATTCCTTCTTGTCTTTCCCTAGTGAAGTGTGAGACATTTGAACCTCTTTCTACTTTTGATGAACATCAAGTGTGACACCCTTTTGAAATTTATTAACTAACATGGTAATACAATAGTGTCATATCTCATCTTTTTTTCTTTTTTTCTTTTTCGTTTTCATTTATGGGCTATTTGATTGGAATACAAAGTTGTGTAAAGTATTTTAAATACGAATTTTTTGATGTTTTGTTAGAATATAAAGTGAAAGTAAAGTAAATGTAGCGTAAATTATTTTAATTTATTTTTGAAGTAAACCAAACTCTACCAGTTTTGAGTGAGAATCATTTACATCATAAACAAGCTTGTTTGACCGCCACCCACCACCACCACCACCCTCCGCTGGTCACCATTGACCTCCACCGTCACCCCCTCACCGACCACCAAAATCGTCGTCGAGTACCACCACCCGCCACCGACCACTACCATCCACTGGTAGCCGCTACAACCCACCTCTAGTCACCACCACTGTCGACCATCACCATAATTCGCCAACGTCGTCAGGCATCGTGGTTTGGAGAAATGAATGTAGATATTTTAATCAATATAATGATTATTGATGCTAGTTTATATTTTTTTATTAGAAAAAATTAAATAGCTCTAGTAGTTATTTTTATAATTACAAAATACTAATAATATTTTTTTTTTTTAAATTTGATTATGGGGTATGAAAAATTGGTATCATAATAGTTGTTGAAAGAATTCGATTTATCACTAAAGCTATAAGAATTGATTGTGAGTCAAGTAAATTAGTTACATTAAGGTGTATTATTTTGCATGCATAATTGATTGCATATGTGAATTGGTTAGAATTATTCTGACATGATTTTTGTAAAAGTGAACAATTGAAATGGATTTACCAAAGAAAGAGACATAAAAAAAGCAACACAATGCAGCTTTAGTATCTTTCGACAATGTTATGCAACTGGCTAGTGTGATAGCGTAACTAATAAGTGATACTTAGAGAAAATCATCTAGGAGCAAGGAAGAAGAGAGGGATGGACATTTACAAATATTTCACAAGCTGAAACCCTCATTATTCAAGGGAGATGTTGGACCCCAGGCTGTAGAAGATTAGTTTCTAAAGATAGAAAAGATTATTGACAACATGTAATATCCAAAGAATAGGAAGGTACCTTTAGCTATTTTTTTGTTTGAAGAAGTAGTTGTGGTGGGTTAAACAATAGAGAGAGAAATTCCAGCGGAAGAAAAATGTGAGATCACTTAGGATGAATTAGTTGTAGTGTTTAAGATGTGGTTTACATCTTCTTCAGCCTAATAATAGATGCAGCAAGCTTTTATCGGACTGGAATAAGGATGGAAGATTGTGATGCAGTATGAAGTCAAGTTTATTGCAATAACTAGATATGTTCCCCATTTGATCCCTACTGGTGAAGAAAAATATTATAGATTTCTATAAGGGTTGAAGAGGGAATTAAAACATTCATTAGTGCCTCTGAATTCAAGAGTTTTCTGAGTAGGTCAGACTGATAGAAATTGATTTGGTAACACATGTATCCAAGTATAATGTTGGTTCTAGATATAATATGAGTAGGAAGAGGAAAAAAGATGAATCACCCAGGGATAAAGAAAGTGTCAATGAGAAGAAAAACAGATATGTTGATTTGAGAGGATTCGACTCGACATTATATATTGATGAATGTATGCATTATGAAAGAAGATATTTAGGTCAGTGCTACCATCTGACAATATAATATTTTGAATGTGGATAGCAAGGATACAAGATAATGGATTATCCACAAAAGGAATGAATGATTTAAGAGCTAGCAAAATAGTTTTGGTGCCCTACTAGTACTGGCTTGCATGAGAAGAAATGGGATAGAGGAGGAGAGAGGAAGAAAATGTTTAGATTTTGGTCGCTAATCTGCTTCGCTGCTTTTACAAAAATCACTCAAATTAAGGTAGGAAACTTTTATCCTATCTCTATTTTAAAAAGTTCTAATTTCGGTTGTTTGATTTCTTCTAAACTTATTTTTATTGCATTTCCTTGGATTTATCGAGCTTTTGACCGTACAACTTTTATATGTTATAGTTTGAATATTTTGAACGATTTGGCTGGTTGATTTAGAGATTTCATTGGGTTAAATTAAATTTATGCTGTTTTATTTGATTTTCTTAGAATAAAATTTTAATATCTAATAAAAGCATATTGTTAATGCAAGTATTTAGAATGAAAAAAGGTATGTAATTGGGTAATAGCTAGTCGCTATCACTTTTATAATAATGTGTGTGTGTGTGAAATAAGTAAAGACTTATTGACCAATAGGTTGATGATTGATAAACCTATACAAGATGGTAAGTCGATGTACTTTTCTTTAAATTCATTAATTTAGTGTTCTCCTCTATTGATTCATGTGATACAATAAGTCAATGATTAAGTGTTATAAGGAGTTATTATTATGCTGACGGGTAAGGAGTGACACATCTATTTATTGAGCTAGCTGTAACCGACTACCAATTACTAAATACTAAAAGAATATTGTGATAGTCAGAACTCCTTACTTATTGAATAGTGTTGAATATGATTATTGAAATGCATATTACTAATTCACTGTTATTATATGACATAATAGTTACTATACTGATTTATTGTTGCTACACCACTACCACCATACTATTTTATTATTCTACTGATGTACTATTTGTTGTTACTACCACCAATTTTATGGATATTGATATTGTTACTGTTACTGAATCACTATTATTATTGTTACTATTGATTCACTATTTGTTGATATACTAATAATGAGAATGTGATTCCTAAACTGAGTAAGTGATACTGATCACATGATATAAGATATTGATTGGATACTATAATATAAGATATTGATTGGATGTTTTGATATAAGACACTAATTATATATTAATATAGAATGAATGAATTTTATGTTTATATTGATTTGATTGTACGTACTGCATAGTTATAGATTTTGACAATTTTTTTAGATATTTATGGTTATTGATTTACATGATTCCTCATTGTTTATTCAAGTCGATCTTCGTACTGAGTTGTTGGTTAATAATCTTACCAATTTACTAGATTAATAGTGTCTATTCTACTGGTTTTCGTACCAAATTATTCTACTATTTTATAGATTTTACTATTTCTGCACTGCATAAATTCATGATCATAATCATTACTATTGTTATTAATTGACTGATGACATTCATACTACTTCTTTACCATAATTTTAGTTTAACTAGGATTTAGTTATCAACTAGACTTTTTAGCTCATTATATATTATTTCAAAGATTTCAAGTTAGGGCAAAGGATTAGGAGTGTAAGATTGATCAAAATTTATCAGGTTTTGGTTATTTTATTTTAGTTATTTTTTTGTACTTAGGACTGAATGATGTGCTATATTTTTACGATTCCTGAATATTGTATATGATTTTTGGAGAAATGAATATAAATGTATATTGATGTTTTAATCAATAGAATGATTGATGCTGCTAGTTTATCATTAGAAAAATTTAGATAGGTATGGTAGCCGTTGTTATAATAATAATAATAATAATTCTTCCAACTTTAACTCTGGGGCTTTATAAAACAACTCCTTAATTACTACTTTTTTTCTTTTTTAGCAGCTTTAATTTAATTTGTTTACAATAGCTTTCTCTTTTTTCAGTAATTTTTTTCTAAACAGGGTTATTGAAGGTGTTTGGTGCCTTATAAGAAAGGCAAAAAAAAATCTTAATTCTATTTTAGGGGCATCCCTTGAAATTTAATAATGCCACAATCATATGGGTGCCTTCAGATCTAAGAGAGACATATGATGACTATCTTAAATAAGATACATAACTCTATAAATAGAAGGTGACATAATGCAGTAAAAATACATGATTAAAATGATCTTAACATAAGCTCATCATTTTAGAAAAAAACTTATAAGATGCCTAATCACAAAGAGATCAGAAAAAAGTTTTCATTTCTATCTTCTACTTGAATAGAATTTTGAGCTACATTAAGGGTGCATCTAATAATGTTGAGGTGATCATTTGATAGAGAGCAATCATCATATTCATATATTTCTTTTATTGAAGAGCCCTATATATTAATGCAAGTTAGTTTGATAAATCTAGTATTCAATTGTAGTTGAAGTGTTTGGGATTTGTGAATTAACTTTCTTATAAAATATTTTAATCATATAAGGTGAAAATGCTTGCCATTAAAATAGGGGTTTTGAAACAAACAATAAACAACATACTTGAAAGGTAGTTTAAGATAGTTTTTAAATTAAGGGTCAGTTTAAGATAGTTTTTTTACTGCTTTGTTTTTAAGACTGCAATCACAGTTTCTAAGCTTTCAATAAATTTTTTTGCTAGAAAACTATTTTTTATAGCAACTTCTAAAAAATTACTTTCCTCAAAACAGCTTTACAATCACATTTACAAAAAAAAATAGGCTTCGTTTGAGACATCTTTTTACTGTATCTTAAAGCAACTTTCTAGTACAAATATTTTAATTTTTGTATTAAAAAACTGCTTTATAAAGCATTAAGAAAATTGTCCCAAACAAAACCGTAATAATCTCAAATAAACCCTAAATATCAAACTTCTTAAAATATAAGGATATCAAAGGGACCTTAGCTACACACAAAAGTTTGTAGTAACTATAACAACCAAGATAAAAAAAAGATCTATTTAGAAGAGTGACTAACTAACTATACAAAGTAGCAACTAAAATGCCACAAAGAATTTATAATATTATATTTATCTATGAGACAAAGATAAATTGTGTTTGATAAATAGCCTTTTTAGATTTTCTAGAGAATGTTAGAGAGAAACTTAGGATATGATTACAACAAATCTAGCTTTGTTGATTTATCAAAGTTGCAAGTTGACTAATTGAGAATATCCTCTTGAAACCTAATTAGTAGATTTTCATCTATATTGAAACCAACTCTTGTGTGCTTTCATTTTAAAGTAATTAGGAAATTTTAGTTCTCTTTTGTTTTCCTTTGTAGTGCTCATTATCTAATCTATTCTGAATGTTCACATAAAGCTTATATTAATTTAATTTTTTACTTAGTAAATTCATGTTCGGTGGGATGATATTTTTACTCATCGCTTTATTACTCATTTGATCACTTACTCTTTATGTGTAATAGAGAATTCAGATCAAATCCTATCTATGTCTACAAAGTCCAAAATGTTGATCAATTGCAACATTTTCGGCACAATGTAAACAACAAGAAAACAAAGGGAATATGAGCTTAAAACTAAAACCGAAAACCCGACTCGGACCCGACCCGGGAATTTCGGATTTGACCCAACCTGATTTCAAAATGGGTCGGGTTCGGGTTCCAGAAATCAACCCGTTTGAAAAACGGGTCGGGTTCAGGTTAACCCGACAGGTTGCCGGGTCGACCCTCAAACCCGTTTAAAATGGCCCGCACTGCCTCGTCTGCCAGTGACACTGCCCCGCTTGCCCGCGAAGCACCAGTGCTCGCCCGCGGGCACCGCTCTGGCCCACGTGCACCAGCGCTCGCCCGCGCGCACAGCGGTCCCCCATTGCCGCCCGCCTGCCCACGCACCTGCTAGCTCTTGCATGCGCGCCCGCTCGCACTCCCCCGCGCTCCCCGGCGCGCCAGCTCGTGTTTGCCAGCGCGGCCACTTGCGCACCTGTTTCAGGTCAACCCGTGTCGGGTCGAATCAACCCAGCAACCCGCCAAATCGGATCCGGGTTCGGATATCTGACACGTTTACCTACCAGGGTCAGGTTAGGGTCGACCCGTTTGAACTCGGGTCATTTCTGGGTTCGACCCGAACCCAACCCGTGACCCGAAATTGACACCCCTAGACTAAGCAAACAAATCATAAAAAGATCATAAGGTGCCTACACAAAAAAAGTGTCTTAGACCTGAAAATTTTAAAGAACTCTATGGCTGAAAACTATCAAGAGTCTTAGGCTTCCGTTTGGGACGACTTTTTTACTGCTTCTTAAAACAAAATTGTAGTACAAAAATTAAAATTTTTATACTAAAAAATAACTTTAAAAAGCAGTAAGAAAGTGATCCCAAACGAAGCCTAAGAAAGATGAAATCTCAAGAAACAAGTCCAAGAAACTTAACAAGCGAATGAAATTTTTGAAAATGTCATGATTTATATTCTAAGATAATTTGGCATAACATAAAATTTAACAATACAATTTAAACTTTTGCGCAACAAGACCAAAATCCATCTATATCTATACATAAATGAATAGCGAGCCAAGTCAATAAGGGGATTTTTTCAAGAAAGAAGAAACTTCAGATTAAGAAGCTCTAGAATGAAAATGAGGGAATGCCCACAATATCTGGATTTATCAGATATAATTTGAGGGCTTTCGTAGGTTCATTAATTAGGACTTGACAGAAGAATTTCATAAGTTTCAAAAATTGAAAAAAAAAAAGAACCTTCTAGATGTGGCCTCGCATAAGCTGGCACAACCACCATTGCCCTCGCCTGGGGCTAGATGCAGCCATAGCAGAATGCCACCACAGCAACTATGATAAAAATAAAAAGATTCACCAAAAATTGAAAAAAAAAAAAGTTTGGCCATATGTGATCCAAAATAAATAAATAAAGAATTAATTAAAGAGCAAGCCAAATCAATCACAGAAAAATAAAAATGTAGCTGCTTCCAGAATATGAATATAAATATTAAATAAAGGCTTTCATGTCTTATGCATAGGCAAGCACCGAAGATCAAGAAGTCCAGCTGCAAACAGGAAAAAATAAAAATAAAAGTAAAAGCTTCGATTGCATCCACGAAGTCAGTCTTTAAAAAAAAAAAAACACAGCACAACTGACTATCGAGATAATATAAATCCATCGTGCTGAACAATTATCTTTCTCTGTGAAGTGGCGCTCACAATCACGTCTGGTAAGTAAAATAGAAGGGATTTGTTTTCATTCTTTTTTATTTTTCTTGAGAAGATGTTGGGTTCCGTTTCCATCTTTAGAAGCATTTTCGGTGTACAATGGATGGTCCAGATTCATCGTACTCTGCCTTTGCAATCCACATCTGCCATCAGTTATGAAAGCTAATCAGGATTTGTTATGCAGAAGAGGAACAAGTTAGGAATACCTTAAAAAATGCTAAGATGAATGAGTTAGAAAATAATTAAGAAGAGTGAGTTAGAAAGAAAATGCATTAGATGGCCAGTTAGAATAACATTTATTAAACATAAAGAAGGAGAAAATAAATCAAAGAATTTTAAATATACATAATGATGAATAGAAGATGGATCAATACGATGAGATGATAAAGCTAACAGTTAAAGATTAGAAAAAAGGGGACTTTTACATACATAACACCTAAAGCTATTGAAAAAAAATATTCAACACCTAAACTTCTATATTTATTAATATACTGACAAGGAATCTGCGCCAATCAAATGATTTGAATCATTCGCCGGAGTGGAGCAGACCTCGCCGGCGTCCAACAGAACCTGCTGAGCAGTTATCCACTTGTCACCACTTACTCCTGCCACCTGACTACTTTATGTAACGGTCAAGGGCAGTTCAGTAATTAGCCATTACAAATATTTTAGTTATATATACATGTAATATGTCTTGGTTTAACTCAATGAGAAATTACGATTTCACTGTTCATCGTCTTCCTCGCTCGAGCTGCAATGCTTGCTTTCTGTATCAGTGGATTCATCATGGTATCAGAGCACTGTGCCTAACGGCTCCTCTTCTCCATGGGCGACTCTACTGCGTCAGCTCCCAGCACACCCGCTGCTGCCGTTCTCACTTCTGAAGCTCCCACAACCTCTACAGATATCGCAATTCCTGATACCCTTAAGTTTCTTCTATCTAACATCAAGAACGTCATTAACGTTCAACTTCTCCCAGAAAACTATCCTACTTGGCGTTCCGCAATCTATAAATTGTTTGCCGCAAACAATTTCTCTGGTTACTTAGATGGCACCATTCTCTCGCCGCCGAAGCATCTTCTCACTGCTACTGGTCAGCTCACCCTCAACCCTCAATACTCCAGTTGGACCTTGATTGATCAAAATCTCTCGGTTGCTTTGTTTTCCACCATATCCCCTCCCATTCTCCCATACATTCTCACCTTGGAAACCTCTGCATCCATTTGGAAAACATTAGAACAACGGTTCTATTCTACTAACCGCTCTAGAGTTATACAACTCAAGAATGAGTTGCAGTCCCTTTCTATGCAAAACAAAACCATGACCGACTACCTTGCTTCCATTAAAAGCACCGTCGATAACATCCGAGCCGCCGACGACACTATTGATAATGAAGATGTTCTTCATTATAACCTTAATGGGTTACCACCCTCCTATCAGTCGTTCAAAACTACTATACGGAGCTCCCTTCATCCCATTTCCTTAGATGATCTATATTCCCTTCTCCGAAGTGAGGAAGTCCGCCAGATTACAGATGCTCTTCGTGACCTTTCTTTTTCAAACATAGCAACCTCAGACAATCAACTTGCTCTGTTTTCCAATCGAGGAATGTCACGCGGACGGTCTTCGTCCGCCAGGGGACGCGGCCGTTTTTCATCTAACACTGCAACCCGAAATTTTCCTCGTGCTCCTCGGTTTGACGGCGATTGCCAAATTTGTGGCAAGAGAGACCATTCAGCGGCTAACTGTTGGCATCATGGAAATTTCAATTACAGCTCTCCTTCGTCAAACTCCAGAGTCTCGCTTATGGCCGAGTCTGAATCTACTCCCTGGCATCTTGATAGTGGTGCCTCTGCTCATCTGACTCCAGATCCCCTTCCCATTCAGCAGCCAGCGCCTTATTCTGGACGTGATCAAGTCTTCGTTGGCAATGGAAATTCCCTTCCTATACAGCATGTAGGCAATGGTTTGCTTCCGACGCCTACTCGTAAGCTTCACCTCTAACAACTTTATCACATTCCCAAATTAACTCATCGTTTAATATCTATTTCTAAACTCACACACGATAACAACTGTTCCATAACCTTTGATAAATCTGGTTTTCGTGTTAAGGATACGAAGACCAAACAACCTCTTCTCTGCGGACGCTGCCATAATGGCCTCTACCCCGTCCCCTTCCAACCTTCCATCGTTGTTGCTTCCACAACCGTTGCTCCATCACGTTTAGCACTCTCTTGGCATCGTCGGCTGGGACATCCGAATGCCAAAACCATGGCTGCTCTCTCCAAAGCATTTCCGTCACTTTATATTTCCTCTTTACGCTCTCTCTGTAATTCCTGTGTTCTAGCAAAGAGTCACCGGATCCCCTTCTCCCCCTCTTACCATGTATCTCATCACCCTTTAGAATTAATCCACATGGATGTCTGGGGTCCTTCCCCTGTTTTCTCTTACAATGGTTTTCATTATTTTCTTTTGATTGTTGATGATTATACTAAGTATTCGTGGCTGATTTTACTTAAACAAAAATCTGATGTCGCTATATCTCTCACTCAGTTCATCACTAAAATTGAAAAACAACTGAATTCGTTTGTCCGCACGATTCGTAGTGACGGAGGCGATGAATTTCAAAACAAAATTTTACAAACCTTTAGAAATAACAAAGGCATCACTCACCAATTCACCTGTCCACATACTCCACAGCAAAATGGAGTCTCTGAGCGTAAGAATCGTCACTTACTTGACACCGCTCGTGCTCTTCTCCTAGACGCTCACTTACCTTCCACATTTTGGTCGGACACAATCCTCACAGCCGCATTTCTCATCAACAGGTTACCTTCACCCAACACGTCTTCCAAATCTCCTTATCATCTTCTTTATCAGACTCCACCCGACTATTCTATTCTTCGTCCCTTCGGCTGCAGATGTTATCCATGGACAAAACCTTTAGCTCCACACAAATTAGCTCCCCGCTCCATCCCCTGCATTTTCATGGGTTATATCGAACATCAAAAAGGATTTAAATGTTTTGATCCCACCAGTTCCAAATGTATATCTTCCCTCCATGTCATTTTCAATGAAACTTTATTTCCCTCCATCACTGTTCCCCGCCCGACTCCAACACCATCCCCAACTAATCTTCCTTATTTCCCTCCATACCAAAATCAACCTACACCCTCACCAGTTACTTCACTTCCCCATCAAACTAACTCCCCACCCTCAATTTCCTCCTCCATCTCTTCTTCCCCTGAACCCATTGTCTCTACTCCGACCACCACATCATCCTCCTCCACATCCGTCCCTGTTATACCCCAATCAAAACATCACATGCTTACTCGATTCCAAACTGGAAATCTTAAACCCCACACCATACTTGATCTTTCTCACACTTTACAAACACCCCCTACCTGCTTCACCATTGCCAACAAAGATCACCACTGGCGTCAAGCAATGTCAGCTGAGTTTCATGCTCTCCAAGCTCAGGGTACCTGGTCTCTAGTTCCCCCGCCAATCAATCAACCGATCATCGGCTACAAATGGATCTATAAGCTGAAATTCTTAGCAGACGGCACGGTTTCTCGACATAAAGCACGTCTCGTCGCACGGGGCTTTAAGCAACAATACGACATTGATTATCTTGAGACATTCAGTCCAGTGGTTAAGTTTACGACCATTCGGCTTTTCCTCGTCGTTGCTCTACATCACGACTGGCCCGTTCATCAACTTGATGTGATGAATGCTTTTCTTCACGGCAAATTAGATCAACCTGTTTATATGTCACAACCACAAGGCTTCGAGGACAAAAACTATCCCAATAAAGTCTGTTTGCTCCACAAGGCCATTTACAGCCTCAAACAAGCTCCTCGCCTCTGGTTTGCGACGTTATCCACATACCTCAAGCAACGGAAATTCATTCCTAGCTCGGCAGACCCGTCCTTCTTTCATTACCATCACAATAATATCCACATCTATATCCTTGATTATGTTGATGATATTCTCATCACCGGTAATGATTCATCCTATATTACCCAAATCATTTCAAATTTGCAGAACAATTTCCAAACAAGAAATCTTGGTCATCTTTCCAAATTCCTTGGCATTGAATTTCATCGTTCTGCCAACAGCTATCATCTGTCTCAACGATCCTACATTCATGTTCTTCTCCACATGGCGTCCATGACAAGTTGTAAACCTCTCCTCACGCCGCTCCCTTCCAAATATCCGACTGATTCCCAACTTCAGCTGCCGTTTGCTCAACCAGAGCTCTTTCGAACACTCGCGGGTTCGCTCTAGTATATCACATCCACCCGCCCTGACATGGCGTTTGCTGTCAACAAGTTGTGCCAGCATATGCACGATCCTCTTCAACTGCATTTCCAGCTTCTCAAACGCATTATGCGTTATTTAAAAGGCACTTCCAATAATGGTCTAGTTCTTCCCAAAATAGATTTAGCCCTCTCTGGCTACTCAAACTCCGACTGGGCCGGAGATCAATTGGACCGCAAATCCACCACTGGGTATTGCCTGTTTTTAGGGACTGCTCTACTCTCTTGGTCTGTTAAGAAACAGACGACCGTTGCCCGGCCCTCTACTGAAGCAGAATACCGTTCCATGGAAGCTGCTGCAACCGACATTATCTGGACGAGGCGCCTCTGCGAAGACTTTCTAATCGAGCTTCCACCTACTGAGCTCTTCTTTGATAACGTTTCCGCAATGTCGATCACCTGCAACCCCATTTTTCATGCCCTACCAAACATATCGAGTTTGATCATCACTTCATCTGCGACTGCATTCAATCCCAGCATATTACGATTCGGCATATATGTACGATAGATCAGCCTGCGGACATCTTCACTAAATCCTTGTCTTCTTCTCGGTTGGGTACTATGCGCGACAAGCTTATGGTCCTTCCGCCCATCAGCTTGAGGGACGGTGACAAGGAATCCGCGTCGATCAAAGGATTTGAATCATTCGCCGGAGTGGAGCAGACCTCGCCGGCGTCCAACAGAACCTGCTGAGCAGTTATCCACTTGTCTCCACTTACTCCTGCCACCTGACTACATTATGTAACGGTCAAGGGCAGTTCAATAATTAGCCATTACAAATATTTTAGTTATATATACATGTAATATGCCTTGGTTTAACTCAATGAGAAATTACGATTTCACTGTTCATCGTCTTCCTCGCTCGAGCTGCAATGCTTGCTTTCTGTATCAATGAATTCATCATATACCACCCAAAATTCTTCTTTTAATCAATTCTAACATTCTGTTTAAACCTTCCGTCAAAAATCACTATAAAAAATTGTCTTCTCTATCAATGGCATCCTTTCCCAGTTAATACAAGTATCTAATCGCTTCAATGGACTAGTAGAATAGAAGGAAAGGGGAATTTTAGGTGGTATATTAGTAAATATAAAAGTTTAGATGTTAAATATGTATTTTCAATAGTTTTAGGAGTTAAATATGTAAAAATCACTCATAAAATTAATGATAAAAGATCATGAGATTAATGCCCAACAAGGATTTCTCTATAAAAAAACAAGCTCATGAAGGTAAAGGAAAAATGGAGATATACCTGCTGGAAAGTACTAAGAGATGCTAAAATAGAACCTCCAATCCAAACACTGTACTTCCTCTCTGGTGGAGCTACCACCTTGATCTTCATGCTGCTTGGAGCCAAAGCTGTGATCTCCTTGTGCATTCTCTCAGCAATACCAGGGAACATTGTGGAACCACCACTCAGAACTATGTTTCCATAAAGATCCTTCCTGATGTCAACGTCGCACTTCATAATTGAATTGTAAGTCGTCTCATGGATGCCGGCTGCTTCCATACCAATCATTGATGGCTGGAAGAGAACCTCCGGGCAACGGAACCGCTCAGCACCAATGGTGATCACCTGTCCATCAGGTAGTTCATAACTCTTCTCCACAGATGAGCTGGTCTTGGAAGTCTCCAGCTCTTGCTCATAATCAAGAGCAATATATGCAAGCTTTTCCTTCATGTCCCTAACGATTTCACGCTCAGCTGTAGTAGTGAATGAATAGCCACGCTCGGTAAGAATCTTCATAAGAGCATCAGTCAAGTCACGACCAGCTAAATCTAGACGAAGAATGGCATGAGGGAGAGCATAGCCCTCGTAGATTGGGACAGTATGGCTGACACCATCACCGGAATCTAGAACAATACCTGTTTAAGAACACAAGCAGAATGAAACCAGACATTCTACTATAAGATTTGTCTTAAGAGGATTAAAAATAATAATAGGCAGATGGACTTTGTTCAGAATTTAATTAGCAAATGTGAATCCTTCTTTAACATGCATCTTGAGTAGTATAGCTGTTGCAATCAAACAAACTGCATTTAGTAAGCTAATTAATTATTAGCTGTTGCAATCAATTAAGACCAAATAACCTTACCAGTCCTCTAAAGTCCAATAAGCTTATTGACATCGTTTCAAAACTTACTTTTGCTGGAAAACATTAGTATTATACATTAAGAAAGAGAAACCATCATTTCTAGAAAAAAAATTCACTGTTTGAGAAGAATTTTTGCAAATACGAAGTGACAGTAAAGTATGCCATATGAGCTGAAATAAATTAGTTTAGATATCAGTTTATGTTGTTATGTAAGATGGCATTTCTTCAATGAATGATGAAAATTGGAGAGATACACAAACAATATAGACAAGGTATGATAGGACAATGACAGCTTCGATTAATGGTGAAAAAATTGGCAAGAAATAATCTGGCTCACTTATAACAAACGTAGCAAAAAGCTTTTGAAATAAGCTAAAATCCTTTTACTGATGATCAAACAGATAGATCTATAAAAACCAATTTCTTAAAACTGAATAAAAATGACCTCCTGACTTGCTTCAGCATTCTCCTAAGTCAATCTATTACTGGAATAGAAAGGAAGAACAAATACTTAAAAAATAAATAATAAATAAAAGAAGAGCAAATATTTGTCAGCATTTATATCACCAATGGAATTACTTCTACCTCATCAAAAAGGCTAGCAAACAAGGCATTGGGATTGCTCACCGGTTGTGCGACCGCTAGCATAAAGAGAGAGCACCGCCTGAATGGCGACATACATAGCTGGAGCATTGAAAGTCTCAAACATGATTTGGGTCATCTTTTCACGATTAGCCTTGGGGTTAAGCGGCGCCTCAGTAAGAAGAACAGGGTGTTCTTCTGGGGCCACACGAAGCTCATTGTAGAAAGTGTGATGCCAAATCTTCTCCATGTCATCCCAGTTGCTTACAATTCCATGCTCAATTGGGTATTTCAGAGTTAAAATCCCTCGCTTCGACTGAGCCTCATCCCCAACATAAGCATCTTTTTGGCCCATTCCAACCATCACCCCGGTATGACGAGGACGACCAACAATGCTAGGGAAGACAGCCCTTGGAGCATCATCTCCAGCAAATCCAGCCTGCGGTTAGAAAGAAAAACAAGAAGAAGCAATCTCAGGATATGATATATGAAGCCACAGACTGATTACATCAAAGTTCCCTTAAAAAAATTGAAGTTTTGTAATGAGGATATGTATCCGACCTTGACCATTCCAGTCCCGTTATCGCAGACGAGTGGCTGAATATCCTCTCCTTCAGCCATGATTTATGCCTTTCAAAGAAAAAACTGTCCCTTAGACGCATTGTATAAATAGCAGAAATATTAAGAAGAAATCCCATTCATCGTAACAGTACAAAAATCACATTATAACTTCATCGTAAGAGGACATAGACGAAAAGCATGAAAGAAGAAATCTTCATTCCCAGCGAGAAAACCCAAACTTTTAGGATCTTACAATGCAAGAAACAGAAGTACTTGAAGAATTAAACAAGCCGATTCAGCCAAATCAACTCAAACAGGAAAGCCCATATTAAAAACCAGGCCTTTTTTGCATATAAATTAGAAGAGATGAAAGCACGAGGAGTAAAAAGGAGGGAGGTGATGAGCAACTAACCTTGAAGAGCTCTGGGATGGGAAATGGGGAAGGAGAGATCGGTCGAGGTTATGCCCCTGGGCTCAAAGTCTGTAACTGATATGGATTTGAGACTTTATTTTCGTCTAAAGACGCATAAGGAACAAAGAAGAGAATGGAGGTGAACGTGGAACTGTTCGGTAGGAAGTCCGCGCGATCCACGGCGTCAAAGAAGCTAACAAACTGGGCGAAAAAATTAGGGTCGGGACAGTCAATTTTTGTTGGGTTAATTTTCTAAATTTATTTCCAAGATAGCCCAAACTTTAAAAAATAGTTTCATTTAAAGTAAGTTAAATAAAAATATAAATAGGGATTTTTACATACATATCACTATATAACATGTGTATTACATATTTAACACCTAATTCTTAAATATTACACTCCTACCACTTATTCTCTATTTTAGCAACAAAATTACCAATCTGTTAACAACAATACCTCACTCTATTTTATCGTCCTTCCCGCCTGGGCTTTCCGCAGGAGAACAAGTTTTTTCCCGCGTTAGCTACTTTGTTCGAGTGTGTATAATCGCGATTTTTTCCAGAATCCTCCGTATTTGCTCTTCCACCGTACCTGCTCTTCCACGCGAGCTACCTTTCCTTCCCGATCTGCTTTAGCCAGGTGAGATTTCTCTGATTTTTTACCAAAAAAAAAATCAATGTATAAAACAAGGGAGGAAAATATGGCTTTACTGAAGTAACGAACTCACCGTTACTGAAACTTTTCTACAGTATTTATCATTTGTCTCCCACATGATGCAGATGGTGAATAGTCATAAATTATTCGAAAATGAAGCATGTTTGTTATTCTTTTATATTTTATAATTTTGGCACCAATTAACGATGTGGTGTTTGATTTGTCATCTTATTTCAGCTTGAAGTTAAGGAAAAATGACAACCTCATGGCATAATTCGGTAATGCAGAATTGTGGTGACGAAGTAATAGATAATTTATGTGGAGATAAAAAATAGCATATGTTTATTGCATTTAAATTTGGAGGAATTTGTGTTGACACAAAGGACCAATCTAGAAAGAGATATACTGGCGGCAAACAAAGGACTGTGAAGCTTGAGAAAGGACATATGAATATTTTTAAGATTAGAGCAGAGATTGCTAGAATATGTCCTTGGTTGAAAGGACATCAATACAACATGCATTATCACATTAACGGAACATCACCCAAAGAGTACAAAGTAATCAATTACGATGCTGACGTGAGCCTGTTGTTAAACCAAATGAATGAAAATTTATGTGCCGAAATATTTATCTCATTGCACAAAGTAGATGAAGATCAATCAAACTCACATATCATGAGGGTTGAGAGTTTTGAACAAAATATAAAATGTTCCATTTCTCAAAATGATGGTGCTTCGAGATTTCAAAAATCAAGTGTTACAGATATCACTATAGGTACATTTTTTAATGATGCTACATGTTTCAAGAATGCTCTCCAATCATTTTCCATTAAGGAGAACTTTGGGGTGAGGATAAAAGCTAGTGATAAGAAACGAGTTATTGCAACATGTTCCTATCAAGGTTGTCAATGGCGAATTCAAGCATCCCTATGTGAAGAAACTCAATCTTTTTAAGTTACGAGAGTTGATGGAGAACACACATGTCCTGGGATAAATCGTGCTGGAAATCAGCTAGCTACATCTACATGGATTGCTAATGAGATTCAGGAGATGGTGAAGAGGTATCCAGATATTCCACCAAAAGAAATAAATAACAGTTTAGAGAAGGAATTTGGTTTATCATTATCTTATATGAAGCTTTGGAGGGCAAGAAAGCAAGCTAGTGACACAATTTTCAGCTCAGTTGATGACAACTATAAATGAGTTCCAACGTTGACACCAGAATTACTTGATAGAAACCCGGGCTCACACATCACATATACATTTAATGCTATTGATAATTCTTTCCAAAGGTTTTATGTTAGTTTCAAGGTGTGTGTTGATGGATTTTATTTGGGACCACTTATAAGTTTAGATGCGTGTCATCTTAAATCTAAGTATTTGGGTGTCCGTTTATCCGTCAACTCAATCGATGGAAATAATGGCTTATTCACAATAGCATATGATGTTGTTGAGAGTGAGTCCAAACACTCATGGTCATGGTTTTTGAAGAACTTGGGAGAGACTGTTGGTACTAATTTAAGCACTCTTAGTTTCATATCTGACATGGAGAAGGGTTTGGGAGAGTCAATCAGAGAAATATATCCCGAAGCTGAGCATAGAGTTTGCATTCGACATATGTGGAAGAATATCAAAAAAAAAAAAAATTGATGTATGTAAAGATGGGCAAAAAATGTAAGGATTGGTATGGGCAGCTGCAAATGCCTATACTAATGTAGAGATGAATGAGAAGCTTTCTGAACTTCATGACTTGAGCCATACTTTGTACTCATATCTCCTTTCTTTACCTTACAAGTGGTCAAGAAGTCAATTCATGATACGGATAGGTCATGCTACTAATACAAATAATTTTGCTGAATCATTTAACACATGGATTATTGATGCTAGAACCAAACCTGTTGTTAACCTCATTGATTTGGTCCGGGGAAAGCTTATGGAGCAACGAGCTCAACGAAAGATGACTAGCTTGACTTGGCAGCAAGAATTAGTTCCAAATGTAGAATAATATATTAGAGATATCACAACAAGGAAAGATCATTTGGTTGTTCGACAAGCTAGCAATTTCAAGGCTGAGGTGGAAGGCTTGCACTCAAGACACATCGTTGATATTGAAAGAAAGGACTGCACTTGTGGAGTATGGCAGTTAATAGGTTTGCCTTGCATTCATGCCGTGGCATTCATTGGCATGAAAGAGCACCCATTGTGGCATACTTATGTTGATGAGTTCTACTACGTAGCAATAAAATTTATTTTATTGTTTATTGGCAATTACTTGCATCTTACAACTACTAATTTTAAGGTAACATGTTCTTTAGATATAGACTTGCGTATGATGGAGCAATTGCCACATTACATGGGAAGGAGCAGTGGCGAGTTGTAGAAAATTGTTAGCAAGTAGATGTATCGAATACATATAGACCAAGAGGTAGATCAAGAAAAAGAAGATTGTTAAATTTCTTGGAGCAAGAAAAGAGATCACATAGATGTGAAAGATGTGGTCTATGGGGACATCATCGAAGTACTTGCAAGAACCCTTTGCAAAATAAGAATAACGAGGAGACGACGGACACGGAAGTAGGATGAAAATGACGGCCAAAGTTGTCAAGTAGACGAGTAGCGGATGACGTTGAGCTGATGGAGTTTGATTATTCATATCTTTATGGTTTCTAAAATGAAGATCATTCTCAAATGATTCATGTTTTGTTACTTTTATTGTATTTTTGTTATCTAAAACTTCCCAGTTTTATTATGATGTGTAAACCATTAAAATTTACATTTTACTTTGTTTTTGTTAACCAAAAACTTGTGTTGTTAGCAATTTGAAATAATTTTGTTGTTTCCCAAGCAACCGAAACTTCCCAGTTTTATTCCAATGGAAGCTGCCGCAAAGGGCTTGCTTCATGCTTTCAATGAGCTTTGTATTACATCTGTAAAGGCCAAATCGGCTTCTGGTATACATATATGCAAGCCTAAAAGAACTGAGTCCATATAGACGATTTAAGATGCTGGCATAGTTTGCTCATTAATTATTTAATAAAATAACAATTTCTGGTTCAAAATATGGAATAACAAAATAATGTACAATAACAATTTACATTGTAGAAAATCTTTTCAATAATTTGGATAACCAAATAAGATACAACATAGTTGATCAACACGTTAATACAAAGTTGTGATATTGAAAGTTCAACCCAAAAACAAATGACATTGATGAATAAACAAAACAAAAGAAGACATGTTGATATTCTTAATATTACTTAGCATTCAACCCATTTCGACACAACATGTTACAAACCCAACCAAAGACGGATGGCTATGTCAAGAAGAACATTTGCAATGAAGACTTCGATCAAGAAGATGATCCAATCAAGCTTCTTACAAATCTTTGCCTCAAAGTCTTCGTATTCATCATGTGTACCATAAGATGCATCTTCTACTTCATTTATCCATTTAAAGAATCTGCAGTCGTCATCAGTTTGATTATTCATGCACCTATAAAATTTTCTTCCACTAATAGGTCCGCGGTGGCAAGTATACAATACACAATTCATGTGACGGTGGCAATAAACTCAAGAACGTGTGCCCCTATCTCTCGTAGCAGATGAATTCGTAGAACTCATTTGAAACGTTAACCAATATGTCAACAAAGAAGAGCAAATTGAGCAAACCGTTACGTAGATCAAAATGTAAAAACAGTTAAAATGAACAAACTCTGTAACAACTTCTGGGACTACATAGATCTGTTACAAACAATTGGTTTTATGTTATAAACGATAGCTCATTTTCTCATTTTAGTTTTCTGATATGCATTCCTCATGATCACCAAGAAATGAATTCCCCATGGCTTTCTACAAACAGAATATACCCTTATTTACAATGCAAGGTAAGTGGGCAACAAAAAAACCAAAATCAATTTCAATATTGCCATCAGGGGCAGGCAGACAGTCAGCCACCTATCAGCAATTAACTGGATATGAAAATAACTTTAAGTTTACATGAAAAAATCAAGTTAGAGCTAAGGATTTAGTACACGATATAACAAATAATTTTCTTAACATTGATAGTTTATTATATTGATCATGTATCAGCAATGAACAAACTCTGCAACAATTTCTGTACCTATAACAAGCAACAATTAAAAGATTACAATGCAAACTCTGTAACTATGAACTCATTCGGTAACTTACGAATGCAACAAATTATGTACAATTACGAATGCAACAAACTCGACAACAAATTCTATACAATTACGAAAGCAAAAACAGCTATTATGAACAAACTCTGTAACTATGAACTCATTCGGTAACTTAGAATCAACGATTTCTTTGACTTAGAACACATTATACTTGAGATAAACTACAAAACAGTCAAGAGATGTGCATAAAAACAATTTCTATGTGATTAAAACACATTCTGCTTAAGATCAACTACAAAGCAGTTAAAAGATTACCTGCAGCTTGCAAGAGCCGGAGGATTCTGCCAGAAGAGTTGCGAGGAAGATCTGTAGCCTGCAAGAGGAAGATCTGCGAAGATCTGCGAAGATCTGCAGCCCGCGAGAGGAAGATCGGCGAATATCTGCAGCCCGCAAGAGAAGAGCCGTGCAACTCGCGAGAGAAGAGGGTTTCGCGGTGGTTAGGGCTTTTGAATGAAAGAGATGGAGTGAGGTCTTATTTCAACGGAGTGGTAATTTTGCTGTGAAAATAGAGAATAGGTGATAGGAGTGTAATATTTAAGAATTAGATCTTAAATATGAAATATACAAGTTATAAAGTGGCATGTACGGTAAAATCCTTCTTTTTTTTTTTCATTTATATCGAAATACCCTGTCACAACTTTTATTTCAGGGACAATTTACTGGTTAGCCCACGTTATGCAATAAGCACCACACAAAACAAATCACACTCCGCATCGAACCAGCTGCCTCTCCATCTCTCCTCTGCTCCCTGTTCCCGCGCCGCACGTACAAAAAGCCATTGAACTCATCCGATCAACTCCATGCAATACATTCCCGCCCCCCCATTGCCATCGCCGTCCCTTCCACAAAGTATCCAACACAAATTAAAGCCATGGAAGGCTTTGAGAGGAAGAGAACAGTGGTCATCGTCGGCGGCGGCATTGCCGGCGCTCAACTCGCCAATTCCATTGAGCAAATCGCCGACGTCATCCTCATCGACCCGTGCGTTTGCAACTAATTGAAAATAATATCTTAACTAAATTATTATCTTTTTCGAAAGCTTAGGTTCTGTGTATTCATTCTTACATTATCAGAAAGGAGTATTTTGAGATTCCGTGGGCAAATTTGAGATCGAGAGTGGAGCCGGCGTTTGCAGAGAGATCGGTGATTAACCACAAGGAGTACTTCAAGTACAGGAAGGTTATTGTATCGAATGCCGTGGACGTCATGGAGCAAGCGGTTGTGACGGCCGAAGGTCGCCGGGTGCCTTATGACTACCTTGTCATTGCGACCGGTCATCCCTACTCTACGATCAGACGCAGGAGGGACAGGCTCGAAAAGTTTCAGGAAGGTATTTGATATTTTGATTTGGAGAAAGAAATAATGTTCTTTATATGCTTTTCATCACACTGTTTTTAATTATTTTATTTTATTTTTATATATTAACAAATTCATCTACACCCCCATTTGGCCATTTTATCTGATGAGATTATTTGGTTCACTGCAAACGAAATTTATTGTAAAATTGAAGCCTATTTTTTTTTTATCTCCGGGGAGGCGCCTTGAGCTAGATCTCTGCTAGGGTTAGGGTTTTTTTGGCGATTCATTTCGTGCTTCTCCGGTAAGGCGGCTGGAGGGATCCTATAGATCCCTCCGTCTACGAAGATGCTTTTCCTCCTCTCTCTAACCCTATCATCTGCTGCTGGAAACAAAATCCCACGCTCTTGGGATCGGATCCTTTCGGGTCCCCCTTCTAATGCATGTGAGTTCCTGATATCTCCCTTGCCGATTGAAGAAGAAATCATCAACTTCCCTTCGGAAGATATTGTGGACGTGGTGGATGAATGGGATGTTGCACTGGTTGGGTATTCTCTTGGTAAGATACCGTACTATGAGGCGCTTCTTACTGTTGTGAAGAAGCTATGGAATCTCAAAGGTAGTATGAAACTTATATCTCTTAGTGACGGTTTTTTTCTGTTTAAGTTCTCTAGTGCAGAAGACTATGACCTTGTCTGGTCTAGAGGTGCCTGGTTTATACTTGGAAAACCTTTTATCTTTCAAAAATGGACTCCTCACTTTTCTCCTATTCGTGAAGAACTCACCTCTGTTCCGATCTGATTTAAGATCCACGATCTTCCTTTATATATGTTGCTGGACCCCTATTGGAATTTCCAAAATAGCTACTAAAGTTGGTCATCCTTTAGCTGTTGATGCTCTCACTGCTTCTAAATCTAGACTCACTTACGCTAGAGTTTGTGTCCAAGTTGATGCTACGGCGACTTTTCCTGAAATTATTCCGATCTGTGTGGATGGCAAGATTTTCAATCTTAAAATCCAATATGAATGGCGCCCTACCCTATGTGTTCACTGTAGATCGTTGAACCATTTATCTTCAAACTGCTTTGTCAATCCAAACTCTGATATAAATCCTATAGCTAACCCACCCAGGGGAAGAAGCAAGAGCTGTAGACCAAGACCGCACTCTCAAAATCCGAAAGGTCTTCTTCCTCTACCTAATTCTACTAACACGATTCCTGGTCTGGCTACCAATCCGTTAGAGAAAAACGGTGATATCTCTTTGAACAGAGATGACATTTATGTTCCAAATATAGATAATAATGTTGTTGATAATTCTAATCAAAACATTATTTTAGCTAATAATGCGGATTACGTTAAAACCAAGGGGCTTATTTCTGAGGATGGGGTTGGTATTCAACCTATTAATGAGATCATTGAGACAACGCTGAATATTGAGTCTAGCACTTTATTGGGGTCTAAGGATCCTACTCCTATTCTGACAGGGACTAACATGAACATTCCAAATCTCAATTCACCCACTTCTTTGACTTCTTCGTCTAATGCTTCTATGGTTCGTTCTGAAGGACAAAATGCTTTAAGAATTATCTCATCTAACAAATTTAGTGTCCTTTAAGATGCTAATGAAGCTGAATCCTCCTCTTCTATGCTTGGTGAGAATATGGGTGATCCTATAGGATCTACAGCTAAGTATAAAAATGATAAACTGGAAGTTTCGACTTCTAATAAGTTGCATTCTTCTGATCCTTCTTCGCAAAGACAAACTAGGGGAAAGGGCAACCAGAAAGGCCCTTATCAAAAATCCTAGTTCCTTATGATTTGTCCATCCTTAGCAGCTTGGAATATCAGGGGTTTTAATAACCCTGATAAAGTTCTTTGTTTTAGAAATCTGGTTAATGAGCATAGGCTTGACTTAATATGTATTCTTGAGAATCGTATCAATTCTTCTAATCTCCTGGATCCTTGGTTTTGTTCTACTCACAAGGTTTTTGATAATGAACACAGTTTTAATAACTTTGAGAAGGCTTCTCCAGGTCGAATATGGATTAAATGGAATTCGGATAAAGTTTCTTTTATCCCCATTTTTTCTTCCTCGCAAATGATTTCTGGTCAATTGATGATGGGATCTCAATCTCTTATGATACTTTCTGCTGTGTACGCGTCTAATTCCTTTGAAGGGAGGAATAAGCTTTGGGCTGATTTGGGAGTTGTTAATCCTCAAGGTTCTTTGCCTTGGGTGGTGATTGGTGACTTTAATACATGCAGATTTCAGTCAGAAAAGAAAGGAGGGAATATCTTAGCTATTGATAGGCTAAACCCGTTTAACTCCATTATTTTTGACAATAATCTGTTAGAACTCCCTTCGTCTGGCAATTTTCACACTTGGTTCAACCAAAGGCTAGACAATCCTATTCATCTAAAACTGGACAGGGTATTAGTTAACGAGGCTTGGATTAATCATTATCCTAACTCTCACTATCAAGTGTTGAGTAGTCTTGTATCAGATCACACTCCTCTTATTCTTAGAGATCATCAGAACTTCAAGTCAAAAAAGAGGTTTATGTATAAAAATTATTGGAGCCATATTCCAGATTTCTGGAGCATTTTATTGAATATTTTTCAAACTCCAGATTTAGGGAATCCTATTATTAGCCTTTATAAGAAGCTGAAGCTTTTAAAAAGAGAGATAAAAGCAAGGAATTGGAGTAATTCCAATCTTATTGCTAAAAAATGTGCTCCCTTGGCTGAAACACAAAGTTGATGTCAAAGGATGATTGACAATGATCCGCTTAATAGAGAATTATGTGGAGAACTTAAAAAGATCACGACTGAAATCAATTACTACAACTCTCTACATGCTTCTTGCATTATTCAAAAATCGAAAATTAATTGGCTAAAAAATGGAGAGGAGGATTTGAAGTTTCTATATTCCAAGATCAGGAATAGAAAAGCATTTAATGGTAGCTCTCTTGTGGCTGCTACTCAACATAACTATGATTAAGAGAATAGTAATATTCCAAATATCATTCAGCATTTCCAAAATCTATACAATTCTGCACCTCCTGAATTAAATGAAGTTGGTATTATTCCTAAAGGTAAAACTATCTCTGAAGAGGCTATCAATTCATTAGTGAAGCCTGTCACTAATGAGGAAATCCGATTAGCTATTAATTCTGGATGTTCTAACTCGGCGCCGGGTCTTGATGGATATAATTTTGATTTTTATAAAAAAAACTTGGAGTATTACTGGCCCTCTAGTCTGTAAAGCCATTAAATCTTTTTTTAGTAAATGCTATTTACCTATCAGTGCCAAGGCTACTACCATTGCACTTGTTCCTAAGAGATCTCATGCAGAAAATTTTCAAGACTTTCGGCCAATTTCTCTGTGCAATGTCTTTCACAAAATTATTGCTAAAATTTTGGCGGCTCGTATGAAAAATATTATGCCTGATATCATTGAGATCAATCAAGCAGCTTTTATTCCCAATAGAGTTATTTCTGATAACTCCATCTTGGCTATGGAAATTATAAATCTTTTCAAAAAGCATTACAAGCTGGATCTTTTTTGTGCTAAATATGATATTAGGAAAGCATTTGTTACAGTATCAAGGAAGTTTCTTTTTGCTAGAATGGCTGATAAAGGTTTTCCCTCTATTTTTATTAATTGGATCAAAGCTTGTATAAATGATATTCATTTCTCAATTTGCCTGGATGGATCGATGGAAGGGTTCTTTTCCTCTTCAACCGGACTAAGACAAGGTTGTCCTCTTAGTCCCTTTTTATTTTGTATTGTCATGGATGCACTTTCTTGCCTATTAGATCATAATTCTGATTCTAATGGTTTTGAGGGTTTCAAAATGGATAATTTTCAACTGTCTCACCTGACTTATGCAGATGATCTATTGGTATTTGGGAAGGCTGATTCAAATAATTGTGCTAAGCTTATGAGAACCCTTAACTTGTTCACAAAACTAACTGGGCTGCAGTTGAACTTACTGAAAAGTTCTATTATTATATCCCCTAATGTATCTAATCCAAATGACATTTCTAATACGTTGCAAATACACAATGTTTCTACTAAGTTCTCTTACTTGGGCATTCCTTTATCCATTAGTAGAAAAAAGCTTTCAGATTTTGCTCCTCTTATGGAGAAAATAACGGTGTTACTATCTAGTTGGAAGGCTAGGGTACTCTCCTTTGCTGGCAGGTTGCAATTCATTAAATATATCATTATTAACACTGTGACTTATTGGATTAGAAGCATGATTATTCCTAAGTCTATTTACAAGACCATAGGGAAGTTATGTTCTAAATTTTTATATCATGGGGATATAGATAGTAAAAAAATTCACCTCATTTCTTGGAAAAATACGTGTAAACCGTATTCTTTGGGTGGACTGGGTATTGCTTCATTTCAAGCTTTAAATTTTGCTTACAATTGCAGCATTATTCTGAGATGTTACAATTCTAACTCCCCACTTTCTAAGTGGCTGCTAGCTAGATATTCATCTCCTTGGAAACCTGCTTCATCTCATGCGACGGTGTACTGGAAAAGCATTTGTAAAACTGCTGTAGTGACAAGGGATAAATTCAATTTTTTCATTTCTAACAATAGTCCTATTTCTATTCTTTGGGACCATTGGTGTTTGGGAAATACTATCTCTGAAAAATATCAAAATAGTCATCTTGAATTGGCTAATACCCGTCAGCTGGCTAGCTGGATTAATAATGGAGTTTGGTATATTCCGGATACTGTAAATTCCTCTCTTAGGAATTTTATCCTGAATATACACATTGCAATTGATGGTAAAAAACATATTGGATGGGACAATAAGGAAAATGCTAAGTTTAAAGATTTCTATTTATCTTATTTTGCGAATGAAGTCCAGTACGATTGGCATCATTTGGTTTGGCATAAAAAACATGCACTGAGGTATTCTGTTTATTCCTGGATGGCGCTAAGAGGGGTTTAAAAACTTGTGAAGTTTTGGCTGCTAGGAATATCCATTTCAAGGATAATATTTGCAATTTATGTCATAATAATTTGGAGACTATTTCACATCTGTTATTTGAATGTGACTATTCATTTAATGTGTTAATCAAGCTAATACCTTCATTCCAGACACATTATTTTAGGCCGACTGTTTATTTAGCTCTTCTCCATATTGATAATCTGGATAAGGCTAAAAGAATCAAGTATGGTCGCCTTCTTATTTTGAATGTTGTTATTTATCACATCTGGATTGAGATGAATAATAGAAGGTTCAAGTCTTCTGCTTTATGTGCAAATACTCTGATAAAGAAAATATCTAAAGATATTATTATCAAGCTGATGGGCTGGAAAAATGGCAATGAGGTGAAAGAGGCTTTGAAACTGGATTACTACTAAGGAGGTCCCTTTTTTCTGGATGGCAGATACTGTATGGACTTATTGTTTTACAAAATTCTTTGTAGAACATTGTTCTGGGCTAATGGTATCAATTGCCTGATGCCTGATCCATCTATGCTGAAGTTTTTGAAGATTTATATCTTAAATGAGAATTATGGATTGCTGGTATCATTTTTTTGATGCTCGATCCTTTTAGTGGGCGATCTGGAGATAACTTGCTATCATCGAGAAGATATATTTAGCAGATTTGTATGCTGCGGACAAATGATGATCATCTGCTAATCTTCTTTTGGACGGCCTTAGTGGCAACCAAAGAAGATTGAGAAGTTGTATTATGAAATTATATTCTTTTCTAAGTCCCAGCCAAACCACCCAGCTAGACCGTTTTTTCTGAATTACAGACAAATTTCTGAGTCCAGCCTGAGGAACTCTTCTCTGAACCGTTGACCAAATGCTGCTTCTGATAGACAAATATTTTCTGATTGATTTGTTTTCATTTATTTAGTAATGTAATACTTTTATTTTTCTTGTTTATTTCATTTTGGTAGCTTGTTATTAGGCTGAATTATTATGGTTATTTTGTTTTTGGTACCTGTAAGCTGCTTTGATTTTAATAAAACGGGCTATGTCCTCAATTTTCCCAAAAAAAAAAAAAATTTATTGTAAAATAAATTTTGGTTAAATAAATAAAGCACTTGATTGTATTCACCTCACATTAAGGATTCGTTCAATATAATTTTCTTAATGCTTTATTTTGTCTTTAAAGTCATTGAGAATAATTTTTATTTGATCATTATTTGTCGTTGCATCAAAAAATTTTTATACTAAAAAAATAATTTCTCTAAAGAAGCTTTACAAATAGTTTTATATATAATAAAAGATTGCAACAATCTCAAAAAGACTCTAAATTTGTGAATGAATTTATAAAATAAAATAATTTTATATTACTTCATCCAAGCTATTTTTGGGTTATTGTATCGAATGCCGTGGACGTCACGGAGCAAGCGGTTGTGACGGCCGAAGGTCGCCGTGTGCCTTATGACTACCTTGTCATTACGACCGGTCATCCCTACTCTACGATCAGACGCAGGAGAGACAGGCTCGAAAAGTTTCAGGAAGGTATTTGATATTTTGATTTGGAGAAAGAAATAATGTTCTTTATATGCTTTTCATCACACTATTTTTAATTATTTTATTTTATTTTTATATATTAACAAATTCATCTACACCCCCATTTGGCCATTTTTATCTGATGAGATTATTTGGTTCACTGTAAACGAAATTTATTGTAAAATAAATTTTGGTTAAATAAATAAAGCACTTGATTGTATTCACCTCACATTAAGGATTCCTTCAATATAATTTTCTTAATGCTTTATTTTGTCTTTAAAATCCTTGAGAATAATTTTTATTTGATCATTATTTTTCGTTGCATAAAAAAAATTTTATACTAAAAAAATAATTTCTCTAAAGAAGCTTTACAAATAGCTTTATATATAATAAAAGATTGCAACAATCTCAAAAAGACTCTAAATTTGTGAATGAATTTATAAAATAAAATAATTTTATATTACTTCATCCAAGCTATTTTTGATTCAAAAGCCAAAAAAAAAAAAAAAAAAAACAATTAATTAGAATCAATTGTTGATCAAATAAAATTAATAAATAATTTAATTGAATCAAATTTATATTATAATCATCTTAAAATAAATTTAATAAAAATATTATTCAATCTATATCTTTTATAATGATGTCTAATTCCTCCTATCACTTACAGATAACCAGAAGATAATATGTTCTAGCTCGATCATGATCGTCGGCGGCGGCAAGACTGGCGTTGAGCTCGCCGGAGAGATTGCAGTGGACTTCCCGGACAAAAAGCTGACGCTTGTACACAGAGGGCCGAGATTATTGCCATTTATAGGACACAAAGCCAGCGCCAAGGCACTCGAGTGGCTCAAGTCGAAGAATGTGAAGGTGCTTTTGGAGCAATCAATCGACGTAGAGTCAATTTCGGAGTCTGACAGAGAGTTTCAAACGTCGGCCGGAGAAATAGTTAGAGCTGATTCTTATTTTCTTTGCGTTGGGAAGCCGATTGGCTCTGCTTGGCTTCGGGATTCTATACTGAAGGAGTATTTGGACAGGAGTGGGAGGCTGATGGTCGATGAGAACTTCAGAGTTGGCGGCTTAAGCAACATTTTTGCCATTGGAGATATTACTGATATTCCAGTGAGTCTTTTTTACTGCTTTGATCTTTTTTTATGATAAGTTTTTGTTGCTTCGCCCAAATTTATTGCAAATTATGCAATCCAATATCCAGCTTTAATAAAAAAAAATCATATTTTGCACGCATTTAAAAAAAAAAAAAAGAGCCAACCATGCAGCCCAACTTTTCCTGAAGGGGAAAGCTGTTTGGTGTATGATTAAAACGAAGTGATCAAGATTACTGCTCATAAAGGATTTGCTAATTCAGATTTCTTTTCTTAAAAAAGTCATCATTGGCCGTAAGAACTTGAATTTCTAGGCTTAGTGGATTAGGGTTTGGGCATTAATTCAACCCAGTCCTGATTATCTCACTCTCTGTCTTCCCGTGTATTAGGATTAAGAATTCATTTCGGATAATTTTCTTCATGTTTGTTTTTTAAATACCAATCATAATTTCATTTGACTCATATTTTTGACTATTTTTTCATCACTTATTAGGAATTTGACTACTGTTTTTTGCTAAGCTTTCACTATTTTTCAGAAATTTGACTACTTTTTGCCTGCTTTTCCAAAGTTATTTTTTACAACAAAAATATCTAAATTATTTTTCCCAGAAAAATTACAGCCGTCTCAAATATGCTCTAAATTGAAGTCAAGGTTATGAGGTTTGACTTTTACAATTCTACCTGTTGCGTGCTAGAATATACGTGGCGGTAGAGTCAGAATTTTACGTCTTAGCGTTGTACAAATATCCAACAGACAAATAGAGAACATAAGTTTTTTTATGTGGAAAACCCTAAAAATGAGAAAAATCATGGGACCACGCCCAGTTGAAATGATTTAACTAGTGTGTGAGTATATTACAATTGTCTGAATCGTCTTTGAGGACAATCAGATTACAATAATCAACTTTTTGGTTGAAATATAGTGACAAATAGGAGTTAGGTTCATATATGGCGATGTATGGTTTGACAAAAGTCCGACATCATTTGGTGGTCCGGCGGAAGTTCGGGCGTCAGTCGGTGGTCAGGCGGAAGTCCGACATCAGTCGATGGTCTGGCAGAAGTCCGAGCAATAGTTGGTGGTCCGATAGAAGTCCGCGTGTCAGTTGGTGGACTGGAAGAAATCCAACGTCAGTTGGTGGTCCGGCGAAATTCTGGTGTTAGTTGGTAAGTCCGGCAGAAGTCCGACGTCAGTTGGTGGTCCGGGGGAGTCCGGCGTCAGTTGGTAGTCTGACAGAATTCTAGCATTAGTTGGTGGTCTGACAAAAGTCTGGGTGGTGGTCGAGGAGGAGTTAGTGGCAAAAGAGAATCTTAGATTCATTATCTTCCTTCTCATCTTCTCATGAGAAGGGGTCTATTTATAGATTTCTAAGGGTGACATGGTCAATAAATAGGAGGAAGATCAAGGCTAAGTTGGAGTGGTTTGAATGGATGACCAATGTTGATTCCCTTGATTGTGGATCATTTACTAGACATCTAAATGTACTTGAAAAAGTCAAGATTTCCCTTGTATCACTCACGACAAGAACAAGAACAAGAACAGAACCAGACAAGGAAAAGAGGAAAGGAAAGAGCAATGTAATGTATTAAGCGGATTAAACAAAACACCTTGAGTAAAAGCTATTTATAAACTGCTGGATAATAAGAGTTGTTGCATACACCAATACAAAGTAGCCACGTGTATAACTAAATAAGTCTAAGTAATTATTTTGTCTTTATTCTCTAATATCCCCCTACAAACTGATGAGCCTTGAGTGACAGTTAGTTTGGTTCGTAGTTGTTGAAAGTGTGGTGCAGATAGAGGTTTGGTCAGTATATCAGCAATTTGATCGATGGTACTTATGGGAAGAAGACAAATATTGTTGTGTTGAATGTGACCCTGGACGGATATTTGATCTATTTCAATGTGCTTCATCCTTGCATGAAAGACATGGTTGTTCGCAAGAGCGATTGATAATGTATTGTCACAAAATAAATCTGTTGGAGAATTGAAAGGAATTCCAAAATCATGGAAAATTCTCCTAAGCCAGATAATATCAGTCGTGAGAGCTGCTAGTGCCATGTATTCCGATTCGGTGGAAGAACGAGCAACCATATGTTGCTTTTTGACAGTCCAGGAGATGAGAGTTATGTCAAGAAAGGAGCAGTAGCCGGAGATGGATTATCTAGAGATCAGATCACCTGCCCAGTTTGCGTCCGAAAAAGATTACAGGATCAGGTTGCTCTTTGTGATTGGAATGCCATTGTCTGTAGTACCCTTGATATACCAGAGCAACCGTTTGAGCAGGAAGGCATGTTGTGGTTAGGGATCATGCATGTGTTGAGAGAGAATGTTGACAGTGTAAGCGATGTCCGGATGGGTCAAAGTCAAGTATTGCAGCGAACCTGTTATTTTTCAATAGGTTGCATGATCAGAAAGCAATGGGTTGGGCGGTTGATCAGTGGAAAGTTTGGTGTAGTTGGGGTTGGCTAAAGGATTTCATTTGGTCATGTTAACCTGTTGAAGTATAGAGTAAGCATATTTAGTTTGTGACAGAAAATATTGATAATTAGAATATTTAATTTGAATGCCAAGAAAGGAATTAGGTGTGCCCAGATGCTTCATAGTAGACTTGGCATTAAGCTTATTAAGAAGTGATTTAATAGCTTCTTGTTTGTTACCTATAAGCAAGATATCGTCAACATAGATGAGCATATATATAGAAATATACTTACTTGAGATTGAATGTAGATCAAGAGAGAAGGGTCTGATTTGTTGTGTGTAAAGCCAAGTGAAAGAAGGCATGCAGTAAACATATTGTACAACTATTGAGGAGCTTGTTTGAGGCCGTAGATGGCCTTATTTAGGCGGCAGATGTGAGTAGGATGAGAGGAATCTTCAAACCCTTTTGGTTGAGGCATGTAGATTGTTTCAGACAGACTGCCATGAAGAAATGCATTTGCTACGTCAAGTTGTTGTACTGGCCAGTTGTTGTGTACGGCTACTGTTAGTAGGATACGTATAGTAGGTAGTTTTGCCATAGGACTGAATGTCTCGTTGTAATCTATGTCGTACTCCTAATTGTTTCCTTGAGCGACCAGTCTAGCTTTGTATCGAGCGATTGAACAATCTGCATGATTTTTAACATGAAATGTACATTTACATCCTAAAACAGATGCATTACTTGGCGGCTGAACAAGAGTCCAAATTCCTTGTTTTTGTAAAGCAAAGAATTATGTGGCCATAACTTTTCACCATTCAAAGTGCTTAGAAGCATCAACATATGATTTAGGAACAATATCAATGCTAGACAAAATCTGGTGGTGGAGAAGATTCATTTTGATTATGGGTTTGAGAGTTCTCGTTTGTATGCGCATGATCATAGGATGACCGGATGTGCTGGGTATAGAATGACTAGGAGTATGAGAGGCATCGGCAGAACAATATTGCGTCGAATTTGTTGGAATAGTGAAGTGAGGCTCGGGTGCAGTATTGAGCTAATCATGAATTTGATTTTGGTGAGTGTTATAAGATTGTGAAGTGGTAGTAGTAATAATAGAGATAGGAGTGAGAAGAAGCGGAGAAATAGGAGTGGGAGGCGATGCAGAATACGTTGGTGTAGCAAAGGGAAAGATGTTTTCATTGAAAGTTTTGTGCCTAGACATGAAGATCTTGTTAGTGTGTATGTTAAGGCATTTGTAGCCTTTGTAAGTTTCAGAATAGCCAAGAAAGGCACACGACTAAGTTTTAGGTTGAAGTTTGTGACGAAGGTGAGAAGGAATGAGGGGAAAGCATTCACAGCCGAATGTTTTGATATGCATGTTGTCAGGTTTTTGTTTGTAGAATAGTTCAAAAGGAGAGATCTGATTCAAAGTTAGAGAAGACATACGATTTATGAGATATGTGGAGGTAAGCACAACATCAAGCTGGTATGTAGTTGGAACCGAGGCAGTGATAAGGAGAGTTTTGGTGGTTTCAATTATATGTTTATACTTTCTTTCAGAGATACCATTATGCTCCGGTGTGTAGGGGCACGACATTTGGTGAGATATGCCTTGCTCCTTAAGAAAGGTGAGGAGATTGTGATTGTTGTATTCTATCCATCCATCAGTTCTAAGGCATTTTATGTGTGTAGATGTAAGTTTCTCAATGTAATTCTTGATGTTAATAAAAATATTAGAAACATCAGACTTATGTATCATCGGAAAGAGCCATAAAAATCTAGAGTAGTCATCGACAAAAATAACATAATATCTGTAGCCTTGAATTGATGCTACTAGAGACAGTCCCTAGACATCAGAATGCACAAGTTCGAGTATGTTATGTTGTATGTGTATAAATTTTTCAAAGGCTAATTTGTGGACCTTCGCAAGAATACATGATTTATATGAAAATGAATATTTATGAATACTAAGTTTAGGATTACATTAAGACATGAGTTTTAATACCCTACTATGAGGGTGGACTAATCTATTATGCCAATGATCAGAAGAAATAGAGTTGGCAGTGAGAGCAGAGTTAGATGAGTGCATGATCGAATGCTTGATCGGTTATAGACCTTCATGGCAAGGTCCACAAAGTAGAGTTTGCTGAGTCTTGATATCCTTAAAAATGAAGCCGTTAGGATCAAAAGTAATCGAAATATTGTTATCTTTCATAAGTTTAGAAATAGAAAGGAGATTATATTTGAGAGTTGGAATGTGAAATATTTGAGCTAGATTTAACTTACGTGCTGGAGTGGGTAACAAACTTTCACTGTATTTAGCAATGGGCATGGTTTGGCCATCACATATGGTAACAGAGTCAAAGCCTTGATATGTGTTTTCAATGGAAAGATTGTCCAGTGAGTTCGTGAGGTTGGACGACACGCCATAATCAAGAAACCTTGTGGTGTTGGAAGCAGATTTGAGAGTAGCAATCATCGCTCGATTTGGTGAACTCGTAGATGCCGAAACATATTGAAGATTAAGTCGATGCTAGCAGGATGAGGCTAAGCAACCCTTTTTGTGGCAAATCTGACAGATCATTTGAGGTTCAGAGGAGGTGCACGAAGATGATGTGCCACGAGAGTAGTTTCGCCCACGAGATCGTTTACCACGGCCACATTGAGTATACAGAGTAAGATTTTGATCTGGCGTTGCCTGATTGCGAGTGGCTTATGCAACAATGTTTACCTTTTCGCTAATAAGAAGAGGATATAATTGATCGAGGTTGATTGGCGTAAGCATGGTTCAAATCGCGGTTTTGAAGGCTTGATAGGATGGAGGTAAACCCTTTAATATGTAGAGAATAATATCCTCCATATCCACAGTTGATCCGGCAACGGCGATTTGATCGACAAGGGATTTAATATCAGTAATATTGGGTCATGGAAGTCTTCATAGAGATGTTATGAAGATTGTTCTTTAACTGGATTACTTTTGAACGGTTTGAAGATTTAAATCGGTGTTCAAGCGTGATCCAAATGGGTGAGGTGGAGTCAAGATTAACAAGATATGGAAGAATAGATGAGGAAATCATGGAGCAAATGGCTGCTGCCAAATTTTGGTCAGTCAACAGCCATTGATCATAGAAGAATTGGGGGTGTTTGAACCATCGGTTTGAATCAAGAACCGGTGCGATGCGGGAAGCGTGGAGTTAAGGAATTTCTCAAACCTGTTCGCTCTTAACAGCTTGATGATTTGAGATCACCATAGATGATAGTTGTTGGCTGATAGAGGGATTGAACTATATTCTTCAGGTTTGCAACGATGAACTTCAGTGACAATGGAATGCTAACCTCCTCTTGAGTTACCTGTTTCGGATTGTCGCCGAGCTAAAAAGAAGGTGAGGTGGTCATGGACGAACACTTCTTCTCTCCCCCACTCTGATACCATGAAGAAGTCAAGATTTCCCTTGTATCACTCACGACAAGAACGAGAATAGAAACAGGGAAAAGAGGAAAGAAAAGAGCAATGTAATGCATTAACCGGATTAAACAAAACACCTAGAGTACACGCTATTTATAGACTACTGGATAATAAGAGTTGTTGCATTGTTGACCTCATTTTTGTATGAGGTCACTTGGACCAATCTTATCCCTAAATCAATTCAATACCCAAATCAATTCAAATTCTAGGATTCTCTTAGATCCAGACCCTAGGATCTATTTAGAGTAATTGTTCTGTCTTTATTCTCTAATAGTATTAATGATATCATAATTTGAATTGGATCATGAATCAAATATAAATTTGTGTGAAAATAATATCACATAAATTTCACATTATAGTTAACTTGGGTTGATTTTAAGTTATCCCATAGATTCATTTCAAATTGAGTTGCTTGGTCATATTAAATATTAAGAATATGTTTGGAATAATTTTTTCGTTGCTTTATTTTTCAGACATCAACCATAATTTAATTTGACTATCAGTCTTCATCTACTTTCTTTTTGTTTTGTTTTTTAAATTTTATAATTAAAAACTATTGTTTACAATAAAAAAATAAGTTATTTTCTCTACAATAACTCCATCATACAACCAGTTTTTATAGAACGTTGCATTCGTTCCATGTATATCCTAAATTTCATAATTTTTGGTTTGATTCAACTCCTCTCATTTGTACTTGACATGACTATCTACCTTACTTTTATTAACGCCCCTTTAAGAAGTATGCTCTAGCTCCATCACAGATTATGGTTTCATTTGTGACATCATTTTATTGCTCTCTAAAATAGTTTTGTTGTTAAAAGTTTTTTTGAGCTAGAAATTTGTACTAAAAAGTTGTTTTTTTTGTACGTCCCAAACGAAGTCTAAAGCCCTGTCTTGTTGCTTTTATTATGGCTTGCATGTTCTGAGTTGAGTTAAAAACCAGTTATTCTTAAGATATTTTCTCTACTGCTCTCTTTCATGGAATACTGAACTTTTTTGCTGTGGTGAGTAGGAGCTCAAGCAAGGGTTAACAGCCCAAAGGCACGCCATGATTCTTGCCAAGAATTTGAAGATGCTTGTGAAGGGAGTCATGGGGGGTAAGCTGGTCAGGTACAAGCCCTCACAGCCACAGGCCTGGATTTCCTTGGGAAGGAGAGACGCAGTGGTTCAATTCTCCTTCCTTACAGTTTCAGGTTTCGTGCCAGGTATGTTCAGGTCGAGAGATCTATTCATCGGCAGGATGAGAAAATCCTTGGGCTTAGAATAATGGATCGATCGAGGACATGATGATGCATTGCAGACTTTGTTCTAAAAAAGCTTTATATTTTTTTGATTTTACATTATTTTGAGTCACGTTGATTGTTTATTTATGTTAAATTCAATGTTTAATTTTTTTTTTTTCATTTCACTAACCTTATGTATATATATTCTTTTATGGTTTTCAAAAATTTCTTTTCTTTGGACAGCCATAGATGCCACTATTATGCTCTAATGCTCATCAGATCTTTATTTGTTTTCTCTGGAGGAACCTGGCGCTGTTGTGTCACTATTGCTATAAGAGTTGTTTTAATTTCAAGTTTAATTTTAGTTTAAAATGCTATATTATTGATTTTGTTTTTTGGAGAATTTCTTGCAGGAACATATTATATTTTGGGGACTTGTATGAGTGCAAGGTAATTCTTTTTGGTTGCTTTCATTTTCTGTTCTTTTTTATTCTACAATTTTACAGGAAGAGGGTGCTGAACGAGAACTTTATGATCTTCCTTTTTTGGGTGTTGTCTGCTCACAGCCCGATCTCTTTTTTATGCATTTCATGTATTATTAGAAAAATGAACCACTGGCTCGTAGGTTTTATTTCTTTTTTGTGTGTAGCTCATTTGAGCATTAGAGAGCTGGAGGTTCCTTCAAAGGACTCTGTAACCGAATTTCTGAAATTAACACGTAGGCCCCTTAAAGGGTTCTAACCAAAAAAATAAATAAATTATATATATATATATATATATATGTTAAAACTCACATATGGACCTATGTATTAATATCAAAAAAAGGTTACAAGGTCTTTAATAGGAACCTTCAGCTTGCTAATGCTTATAAGAGCTACAAAATAATAAATAAATAAAAACTTAAAAGCCGGTGATTCCTAATACTAACAATTACAAAATAACCTAATAACATACTAGGGCTGTAAGATATCAACATCCAAAAAAGGAATTGAAAAATAAACGCAATAAGCGCACAACTCCTGCAAAACTACTACTTGTGAATAATATAAATTTCACTATCATCTTTAATGCTTATTATCTTTATTATTACTCTATACGTTCATTATAGGGCAGATTCATTCACATATTAATAAGGCATAAATAATATCATCCTCGAAACTCAAATGGCATCCAATGGTATTACTAAGAAAAGCTAAATATGAGAGAATTTTTATTTTGGAGCTATCGATAGAATTTTTATGCAGAAGTGATGATCTAATTATATGTCATGTATATGAAATTATTATTATTGTTCACCTATGGTCAATTAGCTTAGGTTAATCAAGTTAGAATGTGAGGTTGAATTAGTTTAAGGCTTGAAGTTATTCTAGCTAGGGAGAGTTCAACTTATCCAAGGGAGAGTTTAATCCATCTATGAAGTTGAACTCATCTATGATTGAAGTCTTTCATAGGAGAGTTCAATCGTTCATTAAACTCACAAAGAATTGAAATCACCCTAGCATTCAAAGCTACTTGCTAGAATGAACCAACTCAAGTGAACTTAATCAACAATAGCATGCGGATCTACCTCTTATATTGTTAGTAAGGTCAAAGTATTGTCCATGGATAAATTTAGAACAAAAGAGCTTGAAAGAATTTGCAAAATTAAGTTTATTAAGAATTTTGTATGCAAAAATCATATTATCAGATGACATCCTATCATGAATGAAAGTAGCATGTGCATTGCAAGTGATAAATTCATAACATCTATCAATATATTGACAACTGATTTGACAATAATTTTGTAGATGACTTTCCAAATGGATATGAGCCTAAAGTTAAAAATGTTTCAAGCATAGGATGTCATGGGAATTAAAGCATCCTTTGAGCCTTTTAGGTAGCTTCATCTTTACAAATACCATACCATTCCTAATCACATCCTAGAATGCATAATAGAATTTAAACATGTGGAATATACTAATATGTGAGGGGTTACTTGATTTTTTTTAACAAAATAAAATATTTATTAAAAGCAAATGATACACCGCTAGACCACATCAGGGCCACATGGGGGGGGGGGGTTACAACCAGGGAAGAACAAAAAGCAACATGTTAAGAGTGATCTGAGGGAAACACATACCAAATCAGAAACAAATCAAAATCAAAATTAGATCCAAACAGACTCAGACCGACACCTAGTTGCCAGGGAGGGGCCATCTAGGTAGGATCAAATAATCTGCCAGAAAACTAAGCCAACAAGTACCAAAAACATCGGACTACCAAGGTTGCCCAAACCCTGGCCATCAAAGGTGCATGCAATAGAACTGCTTCCTCATAGTCCTTATCCAAAACAACCACGACAGCCAAAACTGAAAAAAAAAATCCAAAAGCCATAACCATGAAACTAGCCACGGTGAAAATCATATCTTTTTAGATTTTCTTTTACAGTGCCTAACATAATTATCGAACGAGCCAGTTTCCAAATTACTTTCAAAAGTATCCTCCCCTCCAGCATATGATAAGTCATCATGAAGCCAATCACATTTCCATCGAATACTATCCCTAATAAGATAGGCTAGCATATTAGCATTCAAAATAACAGAAATAAGCACATCCACTAGAGGCACCACACCGGCCTCCCCTAAGTCAACCAAGGACTCATCACCACCACCAGCTAAAGAAACATAATTAGTATCAGTGAGCTCCATATGTGAGGGGTTACTTGATCACCATGAGAGATGTTGGGATTAATTAGGGGGTGACTAGTGGTAATGATAGATAAGATTGGTGGTAATTAATAGCCACAACAGGGATATATGAGCGGGAGTTAAAGTTCTAAGTAGGGGTGGAAATATATTTGATAAATTTTATTTTTCTTAGCATTGGGCCTTGACTTTAAAGTAAAATTTTAAGATCTTCTTCCCAATAGGCAAATCATTATAATTTATTACTTTTATTAAGCTAAGAAGTGTGCAAATCGTATATGTCATTCACATTGTAATCAATATCCATAAAAAGAGGGATGTGGCCATGATCAATAGGAATATTATCAAGAAATAAATAAAGCTTTTCATGACCATCATAAAACCCCTTGATAAAGACATGTTGGTTCTTATTAGATGCATAATTTTCATCCCTATTGCTAACTTTGAAGGAGCTTGATTACAAAAAGATGAAATAGCTATCATGAGGGGAGTGACTAAGCCTAAAGAAGATTACCTTTGTAAGCATGCAAAAGAGTCTGAAATTTTTTTAGCATAACCTATCACAAATAATAATAGGAGCTAATTTTAATGTGATAAACTATCCTAGAAATAGAGAAAGCAAAAATATAAGAGGAAAATGGTGAGAGTATAAAGGAGGAAGGCATTAGAGAAGGCATGATGGAAAAATTCCAATCATTCTTGATTTACTAAAACTTTGCTGAGTTTCTTGTGGATAGGAGCCTTAAACGTACAACTATCAAGAAGATAAAGCTTTTCATGATCACTATAATGATCCTTAATAAAGATAGGAATGTGCTTAATAGAAGAATATTTTTTAGCCTTAATGCTAACTTTGATGAAAAAATTTATAAAATAAAATAAATTTGAAAATATGAAAAATTATATATGCAGTTCTTCAATCCTGAGTTGGTGAGTATAGTGGTACTCTGTAATTCTCTGTTTTATAGCAATTCTGAATTCATTATGCAGCGGAATGGCACCGGGAGCTATGTATGTGTGTGTGTGTGTATATATATATATATATATATATATATATATATATCCCTGACCAAGACATTCTCCTCTCCCTATTTGCTTGCCTTGCCATGGAAGAAATGAAGAGAGGGAGAGGAGAGAAGGGAGAGAGAGGAGGTGAGAGAAAGTCTTTAGAGATTTTTTTATCCATTGCTTCTATTATGAAAATTATTTTGATCATTGTAAGTGACCTTTATTCTATATATATTTTTAATGATTTTAAGTTCAGTTCATTTTCTTCCTCTTAAAATTAATAAAAATAAAATATTCCTCATTTTAAAAAACTTTTACTGTATAACTTTTAATATGTGGTAGATATCTTTATTCTGAATAGTTTGACTGGTTTATATTAAAATTTCACTAGTTAATTTTGCATATACAACATTTTATTTGAAACAGTTAATGAAATTAAGATTGGGTGCAAAATGATGAGGAGCTAATATACTAAATTAGGATATGAGATACATGACTGACATATGATTACTAATCATTTAAAATAACATAGATTTTAGCATAAGTAGGGGAGTTATATTTGGTATGACCTAAAAATTTGACCAAAACAACACCTGGCTCAAAATTTTTGAGTCCAAGTTAACCCATTTGGAAAATTGGTCGGATTCGGGTTTTGTATTCTAACTCGATTGCAAATTTGAGTCATATTTGGGCCAACTAAAAAATTTGAAAGCAACTTAAAATTGACTTGTTTCCTCTCCTGTCCATCTTACGCTCGTTTATCGCTCTCGTTGGGCTCGTCCATCACTGTCGTTAAGCTCACTCGCTTGCTGCTCATGCTTGCTCACCCATCACACTCAATTTGGTCAACGAATCGAGTCGTGTTGGGTCAGGTTGGCTCTGGGTCGAGTTTGAGTCTAGACTTATAACCTATTAACCTAATCGACCATGTTAGGTGAGTTGAAACCGAATTAATTCCAAGTGGACCCGATCCCAACCCATAAACCCATTTTAACACCCCATGGCATAATACATATATATTGATGAGCATATTGAATGGATGTACATGTTATCATAGTTGTATATGAAGTATATCTTGAGCAACGGGGAGACTAGACCGCCCCACTCAAGAAGTCCATGAAAAGCAACCTCCTGCACAAGAAATCTAGAAAATGGGGAACAAAAGGTGTCGACTCATAACAAAACCTTTCCTAGGTGAGCCGACAAGGATGAACGAATCCGCACTTAGCAAATAGCAGGGAGAAGGTACGTAGCAAAGAACATAGAATCCTTCGGGTGAACACAGACAAAACTATTGATTGTTAACCAATTGGGTGACAAGCTCACAATTTTTCTTTTTATTTTTTAATCCC